CGATGTGAGTAAGACCTTTAAACAGTTCAACATTCACCAGGCCGCAAGGCCAGACGGATTACCAGGACATGTACTCCGAGCATGCGCTGACCAACTGGCAAGTGTCTTCACTGACATTTTCAACCTCTCCCTGTCTGAGTCTATAATACCAACATGTTTCAAGCAGACCATCATAGTCCCTGTGCCCAAAAACACTAAGGTAACCTGCCTAAATGACTACCGACCCGTAGCACTCACGTCTGTAGCCATGAAGTGCTTTGAAAGGCTGGTCATGGCTGACATCAACATCATTATCCCAGAAACCCTAGACCCACTCCAATTTGCGTACCGTCCCAACAGATCCACAGATGATGCAATGTCTACTGTGCTCCACACTGCCCTTTCACACCTGGACAAAAGGAACACCTATGTGAGAATGCTATTCATTAACTACAGCTCAGCATTCAACACCATAGTGCCCTCAAAGCTCATCACTAAGCTAAGGACCCTGGGACTAAACACCTCCCTCTGCAAGTGGATCCTGGACTTCCTGACGGCCGCCCCCAGGTGGTAAGGGTAGGTAACAACACATCCGCCACGTTGATCCTCAACACGGGGGCCCCTCAGGGGTGCGTGCTCAGTCTCCTCGTTCACCCATGACTGCATGGCCAGGCACGACTCCAATACCATCATTAAGTTTGCCGAAGACACAACAGTGGTAGGCCTGATCACCGACAACGACGAGACAGCCTATGGGGAGGAGGTCAGAGACCTGGCCGTGTGGTGCCAGGACAACAACCTCTCACTCAACGTGATCAAGACAAAGGAGATGATTGTGGACTACAGGAAAAATAAGAGGACCGAGCACACCCCCATTCTCAATGACGGGGCTGTAGTGGAGCAGGTTGAGAGCTTGAAGTTCCTTGGTGTCCACATCACCAACAAACTAACATGGTCCAAGCACACCAAGAGGTGAAGAGGGCACGACAAAACCTATTCCCCCTAAGGAGACTGAAAAGATTTGGCATGGGTCCTCAGATCCTCAAAAGGTTCTACAGCTGCAACATCGAGAGCATCCTGACTGGTTGCATCACTGCCTGGTATGGCAACTGCTCGGCCTCAGACCGCCAGGCACTACAGAGGGTAGTGCGTACGGCCCAGTACTTCACTGGGGCCAAGCTTCCTGCCATCCAGGACCTCTATACCAGGCGGTGTCAGAGGAAGGCCCTAAAAATGGTCAAAGACTCCAGCCACCCTAGTCATAGACTGTTCTCTCTGCTACCGCACGGCAAGCAGTACCGGAGCGCCAAGTCTAGGTCCAAGAGGCTTCTAAACAGCTTCTACCCCCAAGCCATAAGACTCCTGAACATCTAATCAAATGGCTACCCAAACTCCCCTGCTGATTTTGTACGTTTGCCCACTGACAAAGAAATGATCAGTCTATAATTTTAATGATAGGTTTATTTGAACAGTGAGAGACAGAATAACAAAAAAATCCAGAAAAACGCATGTCAAAAATGTTATAAATTGATTTTCATTTTAATGAGGGAAATAAGTATTTGACCCCTCTGCAAAACATGACTTAGTACTTGGTGGCAAAACTCTTGTTGGCAAAACCCTTGTTGGCAATCACAGAAGTCAGACTTTTCTTGTAGTTGGCCACCAGGTTTGCACACATCTCAGGAGGGATTTTGTCCCACTCCTCTTTGCAGATCTTCTCCAAGTCATTAAGGTTTCGAGGCTGATGTTTGGCAACTCGAACCTTCAGCTCCCTCCACAGATTTTCTATGGGATTAAGGTCTGGAGACTGGCTAGGCCACTCCAGGAATTTAATGTGCTTCTTCTTGAGCCACTCCTTTGTTGCCTTGGCCGTGTGTTTTGGGTCATTGTCATGCTGGAATACCCATCCACGACCCATTTTCAGTGCCCTGGCTGAGGGAAGGAGGTTTTCACCCAAGATTTGACGGTACGTGGCCCCGTCCATCATCCCTTTGATGCGGTGAAGTTGTCCTGTCCCCTTAGCAGAAAAACACCCCCAAAGCATAATGTTTCCACCTCCATGTTTGACAGTGGGGATGGTGTTCTTGGGGTCAGAGGCAGCATTCCTCCTCCTCCAAACACGGCGAGTTGAGTTGATGCCAAAGAGCTCCATTTTGGTCTCATCTGACCACAACACTTTCACCCAGTTCTCCTCTGAATCATTTATATGTTAATTGGTAAACTTCAGACGGGTATGTATATGTGCTTTCTTGAGCAGGGGGACCTTGCGGGCGCTGCAGGATTTCAGTCCTTCACGGCGTAGTGTGTTACCAATTGTTTTCTTGGTGACTATGGTCCCAGCTGCCTGACAAGATCCTCCCGTGTAGTTCTGGGCTGATTCCTCACCATTCTCATAATCATTGCAACTCCACGAGGTGAGATCTTGCATGGAGCCCCAGGCCGAGGGAGATTGACAGTTATTTTGTGTTTCTTCCATTTGCGAATAATCACACCAACTGTTGTCACCTTCTCGCCAAGCTGCTTGGCGATGGTCTTGTAGCCCATTCCAGCCTTTTGTAGGTCTACAATCTTGTCCCTGACATCCTTGGAGAGCTCTTTGGTCTTGGCCATGGTGGAGAGTTTGGAATCTGATTGATTGATTGCTTCTGTGGACAGGTGTCTTTGATACAGGTAACAAACTGAGATTAGGAGCACTCCCTTTAAGAGTGTGCTCCTAATCTCAGCTCGTTACCTGTATAAAAGACACCTGGGAGCCAGAAATCTTTGATTGAGAGGGGGTCAAATACTTATTTCCCTCATTAAAATGCAAATCAATTTCTAAAGATTTTTTACATGTGTTTTTCTGGATTTTTTGGTTGTTATTCTGTCTCTCACTGTTCAAATAAACCTACCATTAAAATTATAGACTGATCATTTCTTTGTCAGTGGGCAAATGTACAAAATCAGCAGGGGATCAAATACTTTTTTCCCTCACTGTAAGTATATGTAAACTTCTGACTTGAACTGTATACCCCAACTGCACTTGAGTAGGGAGAGACTCCATATCAAAAAACAAAATAACAGATACTCTTCACTTTTTCACCATTCACCACACGATTCAGCCGACGTGCATCAATCACTCCAGGAATATTTTTCATCTCGTCAAAATCCGCTTCCCACGAGGTGCCAAATATAACCCCCTTAAGGGGTGCCCTGTTCCGAAGAGACACACGACACTTCAAACTTATCAAATCGGGTGAGACGCAACGCACGTTCCTTCTGATCCGCAGAAGCACAAAAAATCTAAACAAGCCCGCCTCTTGTGATCCTCACAGCCTTCACTTTACCCAGCACTCTCTCCACCAGTTTGGATATCTCAAATGGTTTCTTCAAGATTGGTGATCTGCTAAACTGCTCCTCATTAACAAACTGTACCCCAACTCTACGAAGGGACATTCTCATCACTGTACACTAGTTTGCTCCGATTTCCATTATTTTGGACAATACTCCAATTCGCCTTGATAGCCCGTGTATCTGATGCTGTCTGGCCCAAATATAGTATGATGTGCCATACTCTTTTTGTCCAGACAGCATCAGATACATGGGCTACACATACATGTCCTCTGCCTCGACGACAATGGCAGTGTTATCAGCAGCACCTGTCTTTGTACTAAAGACATGCATATTGTATCCCCCTAGAATCTAAGGGCCCAAGGCTGGGTTTCTACTAAACTAGCCTCGTCTAGAACCAGGCTTCCCTAATACGGGTAAGCCTGCGGAAGTTCATGGTAGAAAAATTGCTAAATAGGGGTGGAGACCCGGTGTAAATCAGTGACGCCTCGCTACACGTCAAACCAATCAAATGCCTTGCTTGGGTGGAGCTCCAATAGTGCTCACTAGATTAGTATCGTAGGTGCAACGGTGTGTGACGATTCTTTTTACAGTCTATGGTGAGGCTGGCCAGGAAATCGCTGATGTAAAACCCCATCAAAATATGTTGATGTATGTCAATTTTATGTATAGAGCACACTTATGACAAAACAGAAATACATTTTTTTCTTCCAGGCTTTCTTCCATTTTCTGAAATGTTGCAAACTAGCATACAGAACAACTGTCTGAAAACAGTGGCGAACAGAACACGTAGCACCAACGGGCATGTGGGGGGAGCCAGCGAACCATTCAAACCGTTTTTGCAATAAAAAATATTGAATTTGGCCTTACTGCTATTAGCCCATAGAAACGCATTGAATAACAGATTCATACGTGGAAAAAGTCAAAAATTGAAGTAAAAGGAAGTAGGTTTTGAAGTGTCTGTCCTATATCTGTTGCGTGGAATTACCTGTGTACCGTGGAAATGTACTATTCACTTTAGACGAGTCCCGTGACACTTGTGAGGGTCGTAGCGCGTGTTCGTGAGAGTCTCCTCTTTCAATAGTCATGTTAATTTGTAGGCCAAACCGTTCGGACACTACAGATGTTTTTGTGGGAATACCAATTTTGTTGGAAGACTCCTGGTCTGACAAACACAGCTGTAGCTCTGCCACCTTCCACCGCAGATGCGGAAGGCCGACATCGGCGATATCTAGATTTGGATGGGGATTTTTTAACTATTTTTTTATTATGTCTCAAGTGGATGATTATTATTATTATATATTTGATGTGTATCAATAAAATAAAAAAAGTTGTTTCTCCCTGATATGAAAGATAAGGTTCTTATGCTTCCAAAACTGTACCGCAAGCAGTGCGTGTTAATGTTCAGACAGAGCAGCTGGGCTCTTAACAAAACTTCCCCGTAGAGAAGACGCCTTCGTCCAATGACTCTTATGTGTAATGTAATAGAACTGAGAGTCATGATCAAGGGCTAGGAGTGCCCCTGAAGTACCCCCTCATGTGCATTTTACCAGTAGGCGTATGGTCTCATGAGTCTTCTCAAGTACTCCCTATGGATAGGCCAAGGACCCCCAGGGGTCCTAGTACCCCTGGTTGGGAACCACTGGTGTAATAGCTCTTTCACCTGTATGAAACTGCGCTTCTCTCTTTCAGGGATCCATGGGGGCAAATACTGCAGTAAGGTACCTGTACCACCAGTACAGAGAGTCATCCTGCACTTTGACCTGGACTGTTTCTATGCCCAGGTTGAAATGATCCGCAACCCAGCACTGCGAAATGTGCCTTTAGGTGATTTATTTTACATACTATTTCTAGTTTGTCTCCTTTTTTGTGAATTTTGTGTGTCTAAGCGTATTACTGTATCATTTTTCAACATGTCAATGGAAGCACTAGTTGCGTAACAACTTCTCTCTGGACTCCTTGTAGGTATTCAGCAAAAGTACATCATCGTCACCTGTAACTACGTGGCCAGGGACCTTGGTTTGACAAAGCTGATGTTAGTGACAGATGCCAAAGAGAAGTGTCCTCAGCTCGTGCTGGTCAAGGGAGAGGACCTGACACACTACAGAGAGACATCTTACAAAGTCACAGGTAATCAACTCAGTAACTCTTGAAATGAGTTAACCACCACAAACAGCTAGAACAGTGATGATCTCACAAACATCAGATAAATCATTTTTTATAGCCACAGTGTTATGCTCTAATGAATTCTACCTTACTATCAGTTTTTTTCTTTCTTATGGAAAAACTCTCACCTGTCTCTGTGCTGTCCCCCATTCAGAGTTGCTGATGTCGTTCTGTCCATTAGTAGAGCGGCTGGGGTTTGATGAGAACTTCATGGACATCACAGAGATGGTGGAGAGGAGGATGGAACAGACCCCAGAGTCTGCTCACTATTCATACAAAGGCCACGTTTACAATCATGACAGTGAGTAGCATAAGGTCTAGCAGCATTCCGCCTGGGGACTTATGAAACCAGGATATGGGTTGTGAAACAACCTGTGACGCTAAATGTATAAACATTTGCATTGCACTTTCAGTTTCCTACATTTAGAGCCACTGTGGGTTTGGATTCTTAACCTTAGCCTTTAGTTATAAGAAATTAAATGTCTACATACTAACAATCAGGTTGAGATTATGTGAAATTTTACCATGGATTGTGTATCTTTTTGTTTTGTCTACTCAGCCTCAGATGCCAAAGTCATGGACCACCCTAGACTAGCGGTGGGCTCACACATTGCAGCTGAACTGAGAGCAGACATCCACAGCAAGCTGGGCCTCACTGGCTGTGCGGGTGTTGCTACCAGTAAACTGCTGGCCAAACTGGTGTCAGGCACCTTCAAACCAAATCAACAAACCACACTTTTGCCAGAGAGTGTCAAAGACATCATGGGCAGTCTAAGTGGTTTACGTAAAGTACCAGGTATAGATCTACGTTTTATTTCTAATTTGACTCTCAGCAAGTTATCCAAATCACTACATGAAGTAGAGGATAGTGGTAGAGTATCCAGCCTGTTGATCCATGTAGCCCACAGCCGTAATCACCTCTGTAGCTGTTGTCATTCCATTCAGTGCTTTACCTTTACCCATTATGGCCCATTTCAGGAGTAGGCCACCAGACTGCTAAGAGGCTTCAGGCCCTGGGATTGGTTAGTGTACAGGACCTGCAGCTCTTCCCATTGGCTGACCTGGTGAGGGAGTTTGGAGCCTCCACTGCTCAGCGTCTCCAGAATCTGGCCTTGGGCATCGATGACACTGCAGTCACCCCCACTGGTGCTCCACAGGTGTGAGATGAAAACTGATCAATGAAATTACCAGTTTTCAGCTAATACTGTTACAGTGCACATATTGATATGTCTTTCTGTATTTTTCTCCCTATCTTCATAATATCCCAGTCTCTTAGCGATGAAGACTCCTTCAAGAAAATGTCCTCAACCAATGAAGTTAGGCAAAAGGTTGAGGATCTGTTGAGTAGCCTTTTAGACAGGTAATCATAAGGTTTGAATTGCAAGGTGCAGAAACGGTTGAATCTCCAAGTAGTGTTTCTGCTCTTAAGTTGAACTAAGCTGTCTTGGTTTTAGGATGCATAAAGATGGCAGGCAGCCTTTGACCCTTCGACTGACCATCAGGCGTTACTCTGCAACCAACAAGTGGTTCAGCCGGGAGAGCAGGCAGTGTCCCATCCCCAACCACATTGGGCAAAAGATAACCTCTGGTACCTGTTAAATAATTCTCATACAAATATGGAGTATATTTTGTCTGCAAGTCATTAGGAATTTAAAATGTACTGCCAATGGCATTGGCAAATATGCAGTAGCTATTGTTTAGTACCTAGTGTACTATGTATCTACATTTTAACAGTACATTAATTTCTAAGGATGGATTTCACAGATCTTGAATGGTAGATCAGTTACTGTGCATTTAGCAGCTAACCGTACTTAAATCTGCTGTGTTTATCAGGCAACAGTGATGCCTTGGCCCAGCTGGTCACCATGGCCATGAAGCTCTTCCACAAGATGGTGGACACCAGCACAGCCTTCCACCTCACCCTCCTCAACATGTGCTTCAGTAACCTGCAGGCCAGGTGTGCTGCTGTCAGCAAGGGATCCATCGCCTCCTTCTTCACACACAGATCTCCTGAGAAAACCCAGGCCTCCTCTCGGTGTCAGGTAAGAAGACATGTGGATGCATTAGAAATCAACTAGTATCGCTGTCTAAGCCTTTACCCAGCCATGTGCACTCTGTATGTGCCATCTTTAGAATTCTGAAAATGTGCATCCTTGCTCTCTCCTTCCCCTCTAGGATGATCTGTCTCAAAGTGTGCTTGGTAACCTCACGGGACAGGCTGGATCTGATGTTGAAGGTAAGACTGAGGAGTTGACTGGTCAGGATGCATCACACTGGATACCAGACATACCTACCAGTCTTAAGATCAAGCCTTACACACAGTCAACATTGCATAGCCCTGAGGCCTCCCAGCAACAGCAGATGGTGGGTGAGTGCTGCATAGGTGGAAGAACAGTAGATGATAAAAGGACCAACAGTCCTGGGATGACAGATTTTCCTCGATTGCCACCCAACATTGACCCTGAGGTGTTTAGACTCCTGCCTGAGGACATCCAGAAGGAACTGTTATCACCTGCCTACCCAGAGACCGCCCATGGCCCCCTCAGCCATAGCACTCAGTCCGTCAGACCCACAGCATCTGACCCAGCAGACAGAGCCCACTCATCTCACCACAACTTTTCAGAACAGCCTGCCTCTCTCTCTCAGCCTGCTCCATGCAAACTTAATGACTCATTTCACAGCACTCCCATAGACCGAAAAGAAACTGTGAAGGGCTTTGACAGACAGCCCAATACACTGACAACCAACAACCAACAAGAACACTCAATCACCTCCCTGCAGTATTCACTCACAGACCTCTTGGAGGAGGGAAACTCCTCTACAGGCCTCGTGTCACAGAGGCATTCGGCTGACTGTGGTTTCCCAGGAAACGTGGACCCCAAGGTGTTCTCAGAACTACCTCCAGAGGTTCAGAGAGAGCTACTGTCTGAGTGGAGACAACAGAGACCTGTCCTTAAGATTTCCTCCTCTTCTAAAAAACAGGGCAAAAGCCCCCTGGCCAGAGAGGGGAAGGCTCCAGCTAAAAGCAGTCAGGCTAATAACTTATTGAAGTATTTCAAACCCAGCTCAGGTTAGAATGTGTCCGTTATATCAAAGGTCACTATGTGGTGATTTAGTATTTGGACAAATAATCAAATAACTCTCTTTTTATTTTTAGGATGTTCAGCAAGTGAGATTCATACAGCTATTTTAGTCAATGCAAATATAAGGAATTGAATGTTAAAATAGAAAATGTTTTAAATGTTTCAAACAGTGTTTTACGTTTTGTAAACATATGGTAATGTTCCAGGATATGTAAATAAAGATAATTTCCTTATTTTATTATACAGTTTTAAATTGATAAACATGGGAGTTAGTTTGCATTACATGTGATGTTTGCTGTTTAAGCCAGAGCCTTAAAACGTGGAACATTTCTGCTCCCAGGTGCACAATTCTCTGTGTCATATGATTATGATTAATATACAGTATATCTAGTGTAGACCTGGTATGAAAATGATTTACATACGGTGGATGACACAATACATGTTACCCCCACATGCCCCCAACAAGTTGACTTCATAATTATGTCCTAATACATACTTTTTAGACAGGAAAAACTCAGTTTAGAGTATTAGCCTACTTGTTGAGCTTCCAGAAGAATAAGTGGGAGAAGAGGCCTTTTAAGGGGTTTACGAAGCTTCCAGTTGGCTGAGTTCCACTGAAATCCACAGAAGCACATTATTTGTGGACAGGGCCACAATCCTTTTTCAAATACCTTTTTTTCTCATGAGAAATACCAGAAAGCACAAGGTCTGTGAACACTGCACTGTGTGGTTTTTTTGTAGCTGGAAACTCCTCCCTTATAGCATGTGAGAGGGGGAAATGTTCAAGCAATAGCATGTCTCCCCCCACTATTTGTTTACCAAGCACGGGTTGAGCTCCCTGAATGGAAGTTGGCAGTACCTCCGGCTAAATCGGTAAGACTGAATTTATTTCTTTTTTTTTGTCAAATCTTGGTAAAGTTCATCTAATTATCCAGCGGCATCAGTGTGTGACATATTGGCTTAATCATATTCAGGCATTTCATCAGGCATTGTGTTGTCTGTCACACTGTATTGTTGGAGGCTATATCATTGGCCTACATTTTCTGAAAAGGCTATGTGAGACTTTCCTTAAGTGCATAATGGCCATTTATCATCATTAGAATTTGCATACTGATTGATTTGTTCTAATTAATATTGTCCAATGTCTCTCAAATATTTCTGGCATCACAAACACATGCCACTGACAGAACTCAGGGTTTTTTTCTGGATCAAGAAGAGGCTGTGGTGGTGGGCGAGACAGGGGGTGTGGTAATAGCAACAGTTGGCTGCATTTAGTAGAACATTTTAGAGGCCCCCATCTTGGTGGGTTTTTTTTGTTGCATTTTCAAGCCAATTTCCTGCAATTCTCAGAATTCCTCCATGGAGCCGAGATGATACATTTTTGCAGTTTTAACGTTAATTTCCTGCAGTTATACATATTTTGCCATGGAGCTGAGAGAAAATGTTGCAGTTTTAAGGATAATTTCCTGCAATTATATGCATTTTGCCATGGCTAATGCTGTGTTCTTTTGCTCAAACTCAATAACTAAATCAATACTGTTAAATTGTTGTTTTAGTCATTTTCAATTCCCCTGACTGTTTAGCTTTTATTTTGGTGATTGTTAGTTCTCAAAGATTATATTATAAAACAATATACAGTGCATTCGGAAAGTATTCAGATCCCTTGACTTTTCCACATTTTGTTACGTTACAGCTTTATTCTAAAATTGATTACATTGTTTTTTTCACCATCAATCTACAAACAATACCCCATAATGACAAAAAAAAAACAGGTTTGTAGAAATATCACATTTACATAAGTATACAGACCCTTTATTCAGTACTTTGTTGAAGCACATTTTGCAGCGATTACAGCCTCAAGTCTTAAAAAAAAAAAAAAAATTGGGGGTAGCCTCGAGTCTTGGGTATGACCCTACAAGCTTGGCACACCTGTATTTGGGGAGTTTCTCCCATTCTTCTCTGCAGATCCTCTCAAGCTCTGTCAGGTTGGATGGGGAGCGTCGCTGCACAACTATTTTCAGGTCTCTCCAGAGATGTTCAATTGGGTTCAAGTCTGGGCTCTGGCTGGGCCACTCAAGGACATTGAGACTTGTCCCGAAGCCAATCCTGCGTTGCCTTGTCTGTGTGCTTAGGGTTGTTGTCCTGTTGGAAGGTGAACCTTCGCCCCAGTCTGAGGTCCTGAGCGCTCTGGAGCAGGTTTTCATCAAGTATCTCTCTGTACTTTGCTCCGTTCATCTTTCACTAGATCCTGACTAGTTTCCCAGCCCCTGCCACTGAAAAACATCCCCATAGCATGATTCTGCCACCACCACGCTTCACCATAGGGATGGTGCCAGGTTTCCTCCAGCTTGGCATTCAGGCCAAATAGTTCAATCTTGGTTTCATCAGACCAGAGAATCTTGTTTCTCATGGTTTGAGAGTCCTTTAGGTACCTTTCAGCAAACTCCAAGCGGGCTGTCATTTTACTGAGGAGTGGCTTCCGTCTGGTCACTCTACCATAAAGGCCTGATTGGTGGACTGCTGCAGAGATGGTTGTCCCTCTGTCAGAGTGACCATCGGGTTCTTGGTCACCTCCCTGACCAAGGCCCTTCTCCCCCGATTGCTTAGTTTGGCCGGGCGGCCAGCTCTAGGAGGACTCTCGGTGGTTCCAAACTTCATCAATTTTAGCATGATGGAGACCACTGTGTTCTTGGGGACTTTCAATACTGCAGAAATGTTTTGGTACGCTTCCCCAGATCTGTGCCTCGACACAATCCTGTCTCGGAGCTCTACGGACAATTCCTTCGACCTCATGGCTTGGTGTTTGCTCTGACATAAACTGTCAACTGTGGGACCTTATATAGACAGGTGTGTGCCTTTCCAAATCATGTCCAATCAATTGAATTTACCACAGGTGGACTCTAATCAAGTTGTAGAAACATCTCAAGGATTATCAATGGAAACATGAGGCTTCCTGAGCTCAATTTCGAGTGTCATAGCAAAGGGTCTGAATACTTATGTACAGTGCATTCGGAAAGTATTCAGACCCCTTCCCTTTTTCCACATTTTGTTACTTTACAGCCTTATTCTAAAATGGATTAAATAAATAAAAAGTCCTCATCAATCTACACACAATACACCATAATGACAAAGCGAAAACTGGTTTTTAGAAATATTTGCAAATTTACAAAAAAAAAAAAAAAAACATATCTTATTTACGTAAGTATTGGAGTCCACATGTGGTAAACAAAAAAAAACCATCTAAAAACCTGTTTATGCTTTGTCATTATGGGGTATTGTGTGTAGATTGAGGGGAAAAATACAATTTCATCTATTTTAGAATAAGGCTGTAACGTAACAAAATGTGGAAAAAGTCAAGGGGTCTGAATACTTTCCGAATGCACTGGTAGGTCCATTATCTTTTCTACATATTTTATATTTGGTTTTAGTCATTAAGTTTACACTGAAAGCGTTAATTAATAATAATAAAAAATAATAATATACATACAGTTTGGACTTCGGCATCCCGAAAAAACACTTAGGCGGCCCGCCCAAAGGTTTCTATGGCACAAAGATCCCTCATCTTGAAATGAGGATGAGACAACTGAGGAGAAATGTACTGTACATGTATACAGTAGGAACCTATACACAGTTGGGTGCCCTCTGTCTCCTAGCTGTGCTGACTATATAATCCCATACCTTTTTATAATCCACACGGGAAATGAGTCAGTATTTAATGAGGGCATCTCATTCCTTTTTCAGTGTTTAAGGAATCTGAGGCTCATGACAGGCCTCTTTCAAGTATGACCCAGATTGGAAATATACAAAACATTTGAAATAAACAAGAAGGTTGTCCTTTTAGACTGTTCTCAACTCAATAATGGATCAATTGATGTCCATGACAGTAATGATGTAAAAATTTAAATATCCTTTTAGATATTTTCTTCCACTTGATCTTTCTATCCATAGACTACAGTACACGATGCTTTGTCATGTCATTTCTCAAATAGAGAATTACCAGTGTAACTGAATAAGTTAGATGAGCACAAAGTCTTTGTGCTCCTTCTTATTGTCTCAGAACTATTTGAGAGCATACTGTATGTAGACAATGAAATAATTTCATTGCATCAATAGAAGCCACAGTTGAGTTTTCCTGCAGCTCACACAGGACAGCCACTTGACTGCTCATGTGAAAGCTGGGTCAAGTCATGTGCTAGCTCCTCTCTGATCAGCTTTTAATGACTCCAGTTATGACTGCCTACTAGGCCCCTGTGATCATGATGCCACTGACTGGGAATTTCAGCTATGTGTTCTGTTAGACCTGTGTTTGCCTGTTTCTAAATGTTAGGGCAATTTGCAGTATATTGGCTATATTAACAGAACTGTAATTACAATGTATATTTATGACAGTTTCCAAGTATATAATTAGTTAAGGGCACAAATCAAGCCAGCAATGTCCTCTGGGAGACCTGTGTAGAATCTTCTGAAGTCCTGGCAATGAAATAGTGACTCAACTTTATTTACTGTACTGTAATAATGGTGAATGTACCACTATTTACAGTAATTTAGTTGTGTTCTCTATGCAAAAGCATGTGACATGCAAGTAAGAATATGACCATAATACAGTACTTTTGTTTCATATTTTAGGGCAGGTTCAGCACAAGGCTGCACAATGACAACGACTGATTGGGATTATGACTATCTGATCAAGCTCCTGTCGTTAGGGGACTCTGGAGTAGGGAAGACCACATTCCTCTACAGGTACACAGACAACAAATTCAACCAGAAGTTCACCACCACATTGGGAATAGACTTCAGGGAAAAGAGAGTGGTGAGTTGTGATGCTTTACTTCAGTGTGTAGCCTATGACATTCATTTCAAAGATAAAATTCATTTTCAGTCATCCTCGCTCCACAGCTTCCAATTCATGATAATTTGGTTATGCAAATCCAAAGGTTGAACAGTCGATTGTTTTTTGGAAGTAATAGTAGGGTATCAACTCAAATATAGCTGCAAGCAGCGATGACCCGGGGTCCAAGCCTTTTTCGCCTTGTCAAATATGATGCCTTATTTTACAAGTCATAAAATTCAGTTCAGGTACAACACCAACAATCCCTCACTGTCTAGGGATGTCTATCTGAAACCGGCAGTGGTGGGATTTGAACCATGTGGACAAGTGCGCACTTGAGGAAACATTGTAGAGTATTGAGATGAATGGCCAGCAGGGGGCTCTGTTCCCTCCAAGAGTGACTTGAATTGTCAGGCCCGACCTCACTGAACTTCATTGGCTCACAGCGGCCATGACGTTTAAGATATCAACTTCATTTATGGAGCATATAAAGATATTGGTCTATAGATGCTGTACACAAAGTTTAGGAGAAATCGGTTAAGCCGTGTCTGAGGAGATGTTGAAAGATTTGGAAAAATTTACATTTTCAAAATGTCAGATGATCCATCATGGTGACGTCATTGGTCCCAGAGGCAAATTTGTTTCTTGGGTAAAGACAAACCTTTGTACCAAATTCCGTGACTCTAGGTCAAACGAGGAGGCGGGGCTGACCTTTTTGAAGTCAAAGGTTGTTTATAGCGCCACCATTTGGCCGAATTGCACCTGTATTAACCAGATGAATTTTGGTCTCTGTAGATCTTACCATTTTTAAGAGCTATAGCGCTCCAAAAATGGGATAATAATAATAATCCTACCAATTATAAGGTTTACAGTCCCTTCGGGGCTTGGATCCCTAATTAAAACAGTACGTTGGATTGGTAAAACAAATTCCAGAGCCAAAGAGTATGCCTTCGGTCCTAGCTCTTAAGATTACACTTATTTGACAACGTTCTTGTGTCTTCAGATGTATTTGGGGATTGGCTCTGATGGAACGACAGAGAAGACTTTTAAAGTGCACCTACAGCTCTGGGACACAGCAGGGCAGGAGAGGTAGGCAACCTAAACAAGCAGACAGTACATTTTGTATCATTTGTAAGATGAGGATTTTCAATGATAGTCCACATCCATAGCTTTACCAGTGTTTGAACATTGTTGTAATTGTATAAATTCCAGGTTCAGAAGTCTCACCACAGCCTTCTTCAGAGACGCCATGGGCTTCCTGCTCATGTTTGATCTGACCAATCAGCAGAGTTTTTTGAATGTCAGGAACTGGATGAGTATGTCTCAGCACACTGATCTGCCAAAGCAGTTACAGTGAGGGAAAAAAGTATTTGATCCCCTGCTGATTTTGTACGTTTGCCCACTGACAAAGACATGATCAGTCTATAATGTTAATGGTAGGTTTATTTGAAAAGTGAGAGACAGAATAACAACAAAGAAATCCAGAAAAACGCATGTGAAAAATATTATAAATTGATTTGCATTTTAATGAGGGAAATAAGTATTTGACCCCTCTGCAAAACATGACTTAGTACTTGGTGGCAAAACACTTTTTGGCAATCACAGAGGTCAGACGTTTCTTGTAGTTGGCCACCAGGTTTGCACATATCTCAGGAGCGATTTTGTTCCACTCCTCTTTGCAGATCTTCTCCAAGTCATTAAGGTTTTGAGGCTGACGTTTGGCAACTCGAACTTTCAGCTCCCTCCACAGATTTTCTATGGGATTAAGGTCTGGAGACTGGCTAGGCCACTCCAGGACCTTAATGTGCTTCTTCTTGAGCCACTCCTTTGTTGCCTTGACCGTGTGTTTTGGGTCATTGTCATGCTGGAATACCCATCCACGACCCATTTTCAATGCCCTGGCTGAGGGAAGGAGGTTCTCACCCAAGATTTGACGGTATATGGCCCCGTCCATCGTCCCTTTGATGCGGTGAAGTTATCCTGTCCCCTTAGCAGAAAAACGCCCCCAAAGCATAATGTTTCCACCTCCATGTTTGACGGTGGGGATGGTGTTCTTGGGGTCATAGGCAGCATTCCTCCTCCTCCAAACACGGCGAGTTGAATTGATGCCAAGAGCTCGATTTCGGTCTCATCTGACCACAACACTTTCACCCAGTTCTCCTCTGAATCATTCAGATGTTCATTGGCAAACTTCAGACGGCCCTGTATATGTGCTTTCTTGAGCAGGGGGACCTTGCGGGCGCTGCAGGATTTCAGTCCTTCACGGCATAGTGTGTCACCAATTGTTTTCTTGGTGACTATGGTCCCAGCTGCCTTGAGATCATTGACAAGATCCTCCCGTGTAGTTCTGGGCTGATTCCTCACCGTTCTCATGATCATTGCAACTCCACGAGGTGAGATCTTGCATGGAGCCCCAGGCCGAGGGAGATTGACAGTTATTTTTTGTTTCTTCCATTTGCGAATAATCGCACCAACTGTTGTCACCTTCTCACCAAGCTGCTTGGCGATGGTCTTGTAGCCCATTCCAGCCTTGTGTAGGTCTACAATCTTGTCCCTGACATCCTTGGAGAGCTCTTTGGTCTTGGCCATGGTGGAGAGTTTGGAATGTGATTGATTGATTGCTTCTGTGAACAGGTGTCTTTTATACAGGTAACAAGCTGAGATTAGGAGCACTCCCTTTAAGAGTGTGTTCCTAATCTCAGCTCGTTATCTGTATAAAAGACACCTGGGAGCCAGAAATCTTTCTGATTGAGAGGGGTCAAATACTTATTTCCCTCATTAAAATGCAAATCAATTTATAACATTTTTTACATGCGTTTTTCTGGATTTCTTTGTTGTTATTCTGTCTCTCACTGTTCAAATAAACCTACCATTAAAATTATAGACTGATCATTTCTTTGTCAGTGGGCAAACGTGCAAAATCAGCAGGGGATCAAATACTTTTTTCCCTCACTGTAGATCAATATCTCTCAGCCTGTGAATCATCCATTTAGTACATCCTCTAAGAACCAGACCACATTGACCGGGTATTTCACTTTGTATTTGGCATTATAGTAAATTATCTCAGTAGCAGGGTAGCTTGCTGTGATTCAAATACGAATGTATATATCCATAAATAACTGACATTTTATTATGTCTTGTTATGATTGTTCAGTTCAGCTGCAGGCGAATGCCTATTGTGACAGTCCAGACATAGTCTTAGTTGGCACCAAAGCAGACCTCAAAGACCTGAGAGATGTACAAGGAAAACAAGCCAGAGACCTGGCGGACAGATATGGGTAAGCGAGATCAATACCTGCTTGCTCAGGACAAAATTCCGCTGCCTCTATGAAATCTGATCTGACAGTACAATGCAATAAAATGGCTGGCTAGTCCTCTTACCATTGGCACGGCTCACTTCTCCAGTGCCTTACCATGAACCGAGGTTGTTTGAGTTCATACCTTCAGCACCACTGTAAAGCATTTGAACCAATCCAGATCCAATGCTGGAAACAGGCTCACTATTTTAATACCTCTGTTAATTCACCAGGAAGGAATCAGTGAGCTACTACCAGCCAAGGTCTATGGATCCTCTTAAGCGTCTTTAAACTAGAAATGACCCTATTAGAAATAAACTGACCTTAATAATACATAAACCACAAGTTAACTGGCCTTTATTCATGCATTATTCAGTATAGTGTTCAGTATAATAAGTTCCTCCCTTCCTCCTTAGTATCCCCTACTTTGAGACGAGTAGTGCCACAGGGGCTGAGGTGGACCAGGCAGTGACCACTCTGCTGGACCTAGTGATGAGACGCATGGAGCAGAGCACAGAGGGGCCTGCGTCAGAGGCTGCCAATGGGAGCGCTGCCACTAATGACGAGGCTGAAACCTCCACCAGCAGGAAGTGTGCCTGTTAGGATGTAGGGATGTCAGACACATTTCATGGACATGTGGTTGGCTGCATTCAGAATGAAGGTCCATCCATTCAAATGTGTAACTATTGCATCAGGTGAGTTTTATTACATTGGAAAGTTCAATTATCCCATACAGTATTTAAAGGATGTGTAATATCCGCTTATGCATTGTGTGTTTATGTCTGGATTGATAACTGTCGCACTGTCAAGCTTTTTATTTCCAACCTGGTCATCATTACCTGCTGAGTCTGTACATGTGCTGTACTGTATGTTAATGACATGAGACGAGCAAAAGAACACACAATTCAGTTTTCTAATATTGTAAAATGATTCAAAGTAAATGAAAGCACCATGTGTATGTACATCTCAAACCGATATGTGTAATATGACTATGCTTTGCGTGATTCTAAATAGGTAAATACTATTTGGAAGTGTTAGAAGAAAGGTATGTCAGATTGACATATTGGCAGATTGATGCATTGATTGAAGGAAAATGCAGGCACATTTATCATTGACAATACAGTGGGGGAAAAAAGTATTTAGTCAGCCACCAATTGTGCAAGTTCTCCCACTTAAATAGATGAGAGAGGCCTGTAATTTTCATCATAGGTACACGTCAACTATGACAGACAAATTGAGGAAAAAAAATCCAGAAAATCACATTGTAGGATTGTTAATGAATTTATTTGCAAATTATGGTGGAAAATAAGTATTTGGTCACCTACAAACAAGCAAGATTTCTGGCTCTCACAGACCTGTAACTTCTTCTTTAAGAGGCTCCTCTGTCCTCCACTCGTTACCTGTATTAATGGCACCTGTTTGAACTTGTTATCAGTATAAAAGATACCTGTCCACAACCTCAAACAGTCACACTCCAAACTCCACTATGACCAAGACCAAAGAGCTGTCAAAGGACACCAGAAACAAAATTGTAGACCTGCACCAGGCTGGGAAGACTGAATCTGCAATAGGTAAGCAGCTTGGTTTGAAGAAATCAACTGTGGGAGCAATTATTAGGAAATGGAAGACATACAAGACCACTGATAATCTCCCTCGATCTGGGACTCCACGCAAGATCTCACCCCGTGGGGTCAAAATGATCACAAGAACGGTGAGCAAAAATCCCAGAACCACACGGGGGGACCTAGTGAATGACCTGCAGAGAGCTGGGACCAAAGTAACAAAGCCTACCATCAGTAACACACTACGCCGCCAGGGACTCAAATCCTGCAGTGCCAGACGTGTCCCCCTGCTTAAGCCAGTACATGTCCAGGCCCGTCTGAAGTTTGCTAAAGTGCATTTGGATGATCCAGAAGAGGATTGGGAGAATGTCATATGGTCAGATGAAACCAAAATAGAACTTTTTGGTAAAAACTCAACTCGTCGTGTTTGGAGGACAAAGAATGCTGAGTTGCATCCAAAGAACACCATACCTACTGTGAAGCATGGGGGTGGAAACATCATGCTTTGGGGCTGTTTTTCTGCAAGGGGACCAGGACGACTGATCCGTGTAAAGGAAAGAATGAATGGGGCCATGTATCGTGAGATTTTGAGTAAAAACCTCCTTCCATCAGCAAGGGCATTGAAGATGAAACGTGGCTGGGTCTTTCAGCATGACAATGATCCCAAACACACTGCCCGGGCAACGAAGGAGTGGCTTCGTAAGAAGCATTTCAAGGTCCTGGAGTGGCCTAGCCAGTCTCCAGATCTCAACCCCATAGAAAATCTTTGGAGGGAGTTGAAAGTCCGTGTTGCCCAGCGACAGCCCCAAAACATCACTGCTCTAGAGGAGATCTGCATGGAGGAATGGGCCAAAATACCAGCAACAGTGTGTGAAAACCTTGTGAAGACTTACAGAAAACGTTTGACCTGTGTCATTGCCAACAAAGGGTATATAACAAAGTATTGAGAAACTTTTGTTATTGACCAAATACTTATTTTCCACCATAATTTTTAAATAAATTCATTAAAAATCCTACAATGTGATTTTCTGGATTTTTTTTCTCATTTTGTCTGTCATAGTTGACGTGTACCTATGATGAAAATTACAGGCCTCTCTCATCTTTTTAAGTGGGAGAACTTGCACAATTGGTGGCTGACTAAATACTTTTTTTCCCCACTGTATATAATCCTAACCAATTATGCAACATCTCATTAACATGCACATTCATGCACATTGAATAAAGTATAGAAAATGTTTAGAGCCCATAAATACTGTTAACCCAGACAAAAATGATTGAATATGTTTTAATACAAAGTCTTCAGAGTAAATGCTGTCATTTTAAATAAAGTTAATATCCGTTTTACCAATGATTGCCTTTTGACATGAAAATGGCTGGTTGCTTTGTCCTTATCAAATAAATACATACAAGCACAAACTTTGGATGATTTGCAATCCTATAGGAATTCAGGGGTTCTATTACTGGAATAGCCCACACCCCTGCAGCACACACCCCTGGGGGTGTCGGGCCACGCAGATGGTATTGAAAACATCATAAGCCATTAATTATAATTGTATTATTACAGGTAAATAGCTTTAATATGGCTAAATTCTCTCTCCGCCTCATGGCAGAATGTGTAGAATAGCAGGAAATTAGCTCAGGGATTCTTGAAAGTCGGGACAATCCTTGTCCGGCAGGGAAAGTTTTGTTTTTTTTATAGTTGAAAAATACATGATTTTGTTGCATTATTTGATATTAACATTTAGGTGAATTTTATACAGAAAAATACTTGTTTTGGGAATTTTCTAAATACTTTCAATATTATTTGTTTCCATGTCGGCTCTATGCCTGGAAATTCCCTTGTCCAGAGCAAAGGATCCCAATTTCAAACAACAAAAATAAGTGTTTAAAAAATAATGGATATGAACTGAAAACCTATCATGTTTCTTTCAATAGCCCTCTGTGACTTTAAATAATATTTCTCTCAAAACTTTGATTCCTAAAAGATGTGTCTGGAGATTTGGTCAACTTTGTCAGATTTGTCTAAAATCCTGAATTAATTAGGAATGAGCAGGGTCAGCTATACCATAAGGACCCCTTGTTATAAGATGGTCATACCAAGGATCATTTAGCTATTTGATTTGGAATTTTAGGACCCCTTAAGGCACGTGTCAAACTCATTCCACGGCGGGCCGAGTGTCTGCGGGTTTTCGCTCCACCCTTGTACTTGATTGATGAATTAAGGTCTCCCCTCACCTGGTTATCTAGGTCTTAATTGAAAGGAAAAAACAAACACCTGCAGACACTCAGACCTCCGTGGAATGAGTTTGACACCTCTGCCTTAAGGTATCAAAATATACATATATATATATATTTGATGAAACATGGATAAACACATAATTTAAAAAAATTAAAAGGAAGATTGTTCTGAAGTGTCTCTCCTATATCTGAGAGATAGATAGATATAAGAAAGCTCAGGAAACTATTATTATTTAACCCCTTATTTTAGGCACTAAACTATCTCCATATATACACAGTACTTCCATTCATTTTTTAAACTGGTACCTGCTACCTTCAGACTAGTCTTGTGAGGCATGTGGGCATCCTACAGCCTCAACCAACAGGTATGTGTTCGTGAGAGACTCACCTTTCCATAGAGGGATCAAATTAGTGTGTAGCCCAAACTGTTCCGACGCTACAGACAGAAGTTGGCAGATCGGCTGTACCGACTTCAGAGGACTCCTGTGATGCTTGTCGGGGTCAGAGCAAAACGGAGAACACCATTGTGTTTGTGACTCATCTTTCCATTGAGGGGTCATAATAATAGCCAAGACGTTTTTGTGAGAATAACGATTTTCGGGATATCTCTTGGTCTGACAAACACTGCTCTAGTTCTGCCACCTTTCACCGCAGATGTGGGAGGGCGACATCGGCCGATGCGGTGGATTGAGAAGCAGCCCATGTAAGAAAAAACATCAACTCTAGGGTTAAACACTTGTTGGACAATAATTGTGAAAATGAAATTCCTTTTATTGTGTCAGACGTAGTTAAATCCAGTTAGTTGTATTTTATGAAAAAATCTAAATTAGGTTGTTCCTTTATATGGTGTGCTAGCTGCTACTTTGGTCTATCAAAATATATATTTCAAATGTTAATATTAAGACAAATAATTGTGGGAAAAAGTTGAGATTTTCCCATCTTTCAAGAATCCCTGAGCTCTAAAACAGCAAAGTTTTCTCTCAGCCTCATGGAATAATGTGTAAAATAGCATGAAATTGGCTATAAAACTTACTCGAACCTTGTGGAGGGCCCGCAAAACTGCGCTATGGCACTGGGTTCTGTTGGTACCTTTCCTTTTGAAAATAAAAGCGTGGGCACACACTAGCACACACATTGGACATTTTTCTCTAAGGAAATGTGGGGGAGAATATATTCCCTTCATTCATGTGAGCAGTACTATAGTCTTCTTTGGTGATGATCACTACATGGAAGCAGTCAAAGGAGGGCATTCATAGAGGTACAAACAGTATAATTCACCAACAGAACCTATTAGACGAGACTGAAAAGGCAAATATACCACACAACTATCCAAGTGTTTTCTATGTCAGGAAATTATTTGTCAACACATCATTAAAAAAACACCATCGAATTAAATATATTGTTGTACATTGGTTGCCATACTTAAGCCAACATTTCAAATCACGTCACATTCAGAAAAATTAGCATGTCTAGTTTTAATGGGCATTCTTTGGTATATTTACTTATATGAAATAAACATTCTAAAAGTGAAAAATCCATCAGGGTATGGACTAAGAGTAAAGTACTACCTAACAAACTAATGGCACATTTCTATCATATATTTGCATCATAATAATGATGACAGACAGACCTACGATGGGAAAACAAATTAGTATGTTCTAAAATACCTCTGTGGGCATACATCATCCATTTAGAACTGAAGAACTTGAAAAGAACCAATGATATGGTTCATGAGCATAGTAAATCTGAACTCATAAGCAGGGTCACTTCCTTCCCAATGAGTGCATGTGCTGTGAGTCATGTGGCTATCATGTGGTATCGCTTGAGCAAAGTAATTGTACAGACATCAATGGTTAAATAATGAAAATGACCAATCCATACCCAATCCTCTAACATAGTGGAGCTTGACTTTATATATTTTTCATATAACATTTATTTGAGAAGAGTAAAGATAATGTAGAGATATAAAAAATAAAGTTACATTAGTTATTTCAATTGTCAGTAAGGTAAACCTAATCATTTTGGTCCAAGTGGTTTGAAAGGAATTTCTGCCTTAAAACAACTTTCAAACAAAGTTTCTGGTGATATTTCAATTAAAATATCAGCTCAAATACAAATAATAACAAAAAACACCCTTATCCCCTCTAAATGGAATCTTCTTCAAAAAGGCTGTATAAAACTAGCCTTGAACATTTGTTAGTCTCTTACATGCAATGCCATTCAACAGTGTATCATGCTCTTTGTACAAGATGCTATAATTATTCATCAAAACATTAATATCTGGTTTATGTCTCAAAAGTCAAAGTAATGTATATGTGGTAGAATGCAAAATGTTTCCCTGTGTTATTGACTAAAGATAGGAAGTAGTGTTCATTTGAGGTGGTTCAATAATAAAGAAAGAAAGAAATGCTATTACAGTATGCATCCCACTGATTCCCACAATGTGAAAAGTGATTGGTGAAATGCATTTTACTGTTATCACCATGATGTTCTATGGTATTTTGAAAATAGATAAGGTTTGAAGTCATTTGAAACTAAAACAGAACTCAGACACTTTAAAAGACAAGCTGCGATATGTAACTTTTTGGGGACCCGACCAAATTCACATTGAAAAGCAAGTCTAAAAAGCTATTCTATGTGCTTCCCGTTCTTAAGTTTAGTTTTTGCGTCTTTTACTTTCAGTTTTGTACACCAGCTTCAAACAGCTGAAAATACAAAATGTTTGGTTATGGAAAATATATTTCACAGAGGTTTAGATGGTACAATGATTCTCTACACTATACTTGCTTGTTTTGTCACAAACTGAAATTAGGCGAACTATTATAATTTTTTGCAACCAGGAAATGATGGAGCCATTTCTCCACAGTGCCTCTTTAATTCTTAATGGTAATGATAACAACAATATACATGTAACTAAATTCACTCTATGGCTTGGTGTTGGAATGTAGATTATTCATCCTCAAGTTTAAATATTACCAGAGCTATCACCAGAATCCCAATAAAATAGTGGAACTAGGGCTATCAATGCAATATCTTTATCTATATAGGGCAGCAATTTACATACATAAAGAGGCATTGTAAACCGATCTCATACCAGTGCAGTGTGCTGGCTGGGCCCATTGTCTGTCTACTAGCACCTGTGGCGGTTCACTGTATGCTCAAAAGGGCTGGAAAATAGACAGTGTGTCTGTTTGCACCTCAGTGGAGGCATTTGAATCTGATTAGAAAAAAACACTGATCTCAACTCCTTCCCTGAGACTAAGCAGTGATATCAAAAGAACAATCAAATCCCTTTAAAATAAGGCTACAGCCTAATAACAATTACAGTATGCCCCCCACCCCACCCCTACACTAAACTATGAAAAACACTGTTTGGAAATAGTGATTATTTTTCATAAAATGTATTCCCTTGTGTGTTCTTGTTGAAATAGGTTATGTGTGTTTTATTGATCTATTTATCCACACAATTATGGTATCAATGCAAATTAAGTGATGTGAAATATTGTATGATAAGTACTATGATAGTGTGATATATTCAGCATAACATACATTGTAACGTCATCGTCAACCAGTAATCCACATCTGGAATATTCTGCCATATTCCTCGTAACCCAAAGTGTTAGTGTGAATTACATACATTGGACAAAGCTGAGGCAAGATGCAGTGGTGATATGATAGTGTGTTTCTAGAGTGAAAGCGTAATATAAAAGTCTTAATTCTAAATCATGCATTGTCTGCTTTGAGTCGCAAAATGTATTACGTGAGCGCAAGGTCAGCTGCTGTATTGGAGTGCCACCAAATGAATCTCTTAAGCCCGGTCACCCAGGATGGAATGTCTAAGAGCAGTGTGAAAGGCTCAGCTTGGTCACACCTTCTCCATGCATCTTGTAGAGCAGCTTAAACTCACTGGGCAGCTGGTGGGTCTCCTGCCACTTGGTGGTGAACTTGGTTCCTTTCTTGTCAAAGTAGTGGTAGGGCAGCTCCTTGCCTGTGTTGGGATCCCAGCCGAAGGGCCAGAAGCCATACAGATGGATCTCCTCACACATGGCCGAGGCCAGAGTGTACATGAGGATACCAGTGCTCAGTCGCTTTAGAGACAGGTTCTTGGTCTTCCAATATCTGTGGGAAAAGAGTAAACACAATAAAAACTATTATGTTTAAGCTATGGACAATTAATTGTTCATTTACACTCAAAAAAATGTGGGGTTAAAAACAACCCAATTTATGAATTTTTTTGGTAACCCAGCGCTGGGTAAATATTGGACAGAACACATGCTGGGTTATTTTGACCCAGACAGTTGGGTTGCATAAATAACCCAACATGTTGGGTTGTTGGGATTAACTAAAACATGGGTTAATGTAACCATCAGATGGGTTTTATTCACTTTCATGCTGGGTCTTTTTTAATGTAATCCTTAGGTTAGTTTCAGGAGGTGTGGCTGTTACAGGTGTTGGTTTTTCCACGTATATTTCATTAGTCAGTATGTGTTACACCTGTGCTGGTTATTCATCTCGTTAGTGGGAAGGTGTTTCACCTGTGCTGGCCCAGGAGATATTTTAGAGTGGCTGGCCCAGTGCTCCAGCTGTCTTGAGAGATGTAGGTAGTTTATCTAGGTAGTTATCGTAGGTTATTGTAGGTAAGTATTGTATTCGGCTGAGCCCGGTGAAGCACGAGGCTAGCTAACCCACTACCTGGACTAGCTAGCGGGTAGCTACTGGTAACTATTAGCAACTGTGGATAGTTGTTTCCAATGTTATTTCACGCTTAAGAGTACCTGTAATTATGCCAGCTAGCTGCCTACCATTCAGCTGTTTTTCTAACCTCATTATCTGAAGCGTTAACGTTAGGTAGTTAGTAGCTACTGTACTCGAAATGTAGCTAGCTTGTTGCTACCTGGATAGCTAACTAGACAATAGCTGGAACGACCTAGCGAACAGACGCAAACTGGCTGAATCGATTCAGTGGCTAGCTTTGCACTTAACTGGCTAACAGTAGCTACTAAGGGTAAGTTATAACCTACATTTGTGTTTCGTTTTTACATACTGGTAACCAGAGTCGTTCAAGGGAATTCGGGACATGGGTGACTAGTTAACGTTAGCTTGGCTCTCTCTGTGTGTTCGTGCCGTGGGAGGAGGGTTTTTTTTGTTGGCAGAGAGCAATGGCTAGCTAGTATGCTAACTATTCTAGCTAACTAACTGGCTGAATAAGTTGACGATGGACTCACTCAAACTGTCAAAACTAACCCAAAACTTTACACAACGTTAGACACGGACACGAATGATCTGCTTTGCGTGGTAACACACTGGTGGTTTGTTGTAACCGAGTATTGGTGCTAAAGCTCTCTCTCTCCCGCTACTCTCTCCTCTTCCATCCTTTCTGCATCCTTTGACTCTCTATGTCCCCTATCCTCCCGGCCGGCTCGGTCCTCCCCTCCTGCTCCGTGGCTTGATGACTCATTGCGACCTCACAGAACAGGGCTCCGGGCAGCCGAGTGGAAATGGAGGAAAACTAGACTCCCTGCGGACCTGGCATCTTTTCACTCCCTCCTCTCTACATTTTCTTCCTCTGTTTCTGCTGGTAAAGCCACTTTCTACCACTCTAAATTCCAAGCATCTGCCTCTAACCGTAGGAAGCTCTTTGCCACCTTCTCCTCCCTGCTGAATCCTCCTCCCCCTCCCCCCCCCTCCCTCTCTGTGGATGACTATGTCAACCATTTTGAAAAGAAGGTTGACGACATCCGATCCTCGTTTGTTAAGTCAAATGACACCGCTGGTCCTGCTCACACTGCCCTACCCTATGCTTTGACTTATTTCTCCCCTCTCTTGCGACTTGTGACGGCCGGCCGCCCAACAACCTGCCCGCTTGACCCTATCCCCTCCTCTCTTCTCCAGACAATTTCCGGAGACCTTCTCCCTTACCTCACCTCGCTCATCAACTCATCCTTGACCGCTGGCTATGTCCCTTCCGTCTTCAAGAGAGCGAGAGTTGCACCCCTTCTCAAAAAACCTACACTCGATCCCTCCGATGTCAACAACTACAGACCAGTATCCCTTCTTTCTTTTCTCTCCAAAACTCTTGAGCGTGCCGTCTTTAGCCAACTCTCTTGCTATCTCTCTCAGAATGACCTTCTTGATCCAAACCAGTCAGGTTTCAAGACTGGTCATTCAACTGAGACTGCTCATCTCTGTGTCACGGAGGCTCTCCGCACTGCTAAAGCTAACTCTCTCTCCTCTGCTCTCGTCCTTCTAGACCTATCTGCTGCCTTTGATACTGTGAACCATCAGATCCTCCTCTCCACCCTCTCCGAGTTGGGCATCTCCGGCGCGGCTCACTCTTGGATTGCGTCCTACCTGACAGGTCGCTCCTACCAGGTGGTGTGGCGAGAATCTGTCTCCGCATCACGTACTCTCACCACTGGTGTCCCCCAGGGCTCAGTTCTAGGCCCTCTCCTATTCTCGCTATACACCAAGTCACTTGGCTCTGTCATTTCCTCACATGACCTCTCCTATCATTGCTACGCAGACGACACACAATTAATTTCTCCTTTCCCCCTTCTGATAACCAGGTGGCAAATCGCATCTCTGCATGTCTGGCAGACATATCAGTGTGGATGACGGATCACCACCTCAAGCTGAACCTCGGCAAGACGGAGCTGCTCTTCCTCCCGGGGAAGGACTGCCCGTTCCATGATCTCGCCATCACGGTTGACAACTCTGTTTCCTCCTCCCAGAGTGCAAAGAGCTTTGGCGTGACCCTGGACAACACCCTGTCGTTCTCCGCTAACATCAAGGCGGTGACCCGATCCTGTAGGTTCATGCTCTACAACATTCGCAGAGTACGACCCTGCCTTACACAGGAAGTGGCACAGGTCCTAATCCAGGCACTTGTCATCTCCCGTCTGGATTACTGCAACTCACTGTTGGCTGGGCTCCCTGCCTGTGCCATTAAACCCCTACAACTCATCCAGAACGCTGCAGCCCATCTGGTGTTCAACCTTCCCAAGTTCTCTCACGTCACCCCGCTCCTCCGCACACTCCACTGGCTTCCAGTTGAAGCTCGCATCTACTACAAGACCATGGTGCTTGCCTACGGAGCTGTGAGGGGAACGGCACCTCCGTACCTTCAGGCTCTGATCAGTCCCTACACCCAAACGAAGGGCATTGCGTTCATCCACCTCTGGCCTGCTGGCCCCCCTACCTCTGCGGAAGCACAGTTCCCGCTCAGCCCAGTCAAAACTGTTCGCTGCTCTGGCACCCCAATGGTGGAACAAGCTCTCTCACGATGCCAGGACAGCGGTGTCACTCACCACCTTCCAGAGACACTTGAAACCCCACCTCTTTAAGGAATACCTGGGATAGGATAAAGTAATCCTTCTACCCCCCCCTTACCCCACCCCAAAAAATATACATATATTGTAAAGTGGTTGTCCCACTGGCTATCATAAGGTGAATGCACCAATTTGTAAGTCGCTCTGGATAATAGCGTCTGCTAAATGACGAAAATGTAAAAATGTAAATGTAGAGAGTTCTCCCTGTTTGATTTCTAGAAAAACAATCCTTTATCTGATGTTCCCTGTTTTTGTCTTGCTCCACTTCCTGTCTTTAAGTTTGGTGTGGATTTTTATTTTGTTTGCCTGTTCTTGGGCAAATGTAGTGGGTGCTCATGGTGGGTGTCTTTTAGGTCCCAGTTGTTGTTGCTAGTCAACTTTCAGTGGACACCCCTATGAGTGTCTTTCAGAACCCCTCCTAAAACCCCACCTGTTTTGTTTTGGTTGTGGTCAGTGACTCTGGTAGTTCCCCCTTCTGTTTGGGCGACATTATTTGGTTTTCTAGCTGGGGAACATAACAAAATGGGGGCTTGTCCGGGATCTTCTTTCCCATGAGTATGGTAGTCGCTCTAACCACCTACTCTGAAGCTCTGCTGTGCCCAGATATTTGAGTGTTCAAAATACACTTTTGTGGCAGAATTTCTGTCACTGCCATCTGCCCTGCGGGGTTATAAGATTGGTGGAATCCTTTTGAAAGTTGCATAAACACACAGGCGAATAAAATAAAAATAAAAGCCATGGACTTTAATTTGGAAGCGTTTGTGGAAAACCCTACATGGGAGAAGCTAGATAAATGTACGAAGGTGAATCTGCTCATCAATGCAAAGCATTATGACATCAAAGTTGCACATGCCGATTCAAAAGCAGTGTTCAAAGAGTTAGTTGATGGAGGAGGAAATCTTTCCGGAGAGGGAGGATGATGAAAAGGGTCCTACGGGTGGTAGAGTACACCCCATAGAGATAGATATGGTAGAGTACACCCCATAGACATGCAACTGCGAGAGGTAGAACTAAAGGCAAAATGGGAACAACAGAAATTAGAGCACGAGCACAAGGAAAGGGAAAGGGAATGAGAATATGAAGCCAGACTAGAACAAGAACAAGAAGAACGTGCGCATGCCATTCGATTAAGAGAGATGGATCTGGAAGCGCTCCGAATCCAATCAGGCCATCCTGCACCCTCAACAGAGTTTGATCTTGGTCGGAACAGCCGACTTGTACCACCTTTCAATGAAAAGGAGGTGGATGTATATTTTACTCTGTTTGAGCAGATTGCCACATCCCTAAAATGGCCGCGAGAGATTTGGTCACTGCTCCTACAAAGTGTTCTTGTGGGAAAAGTCAGAAAGTGTACATCGCTTTATCTCTTGACCAGAGTTCAGATTATGAAACTTTTAAAGCTGCTATCCTTCGGGTTTACGAGTTGGTCCCAGAGGCATACAGACAACAGTTCTGTAAATTATGAAAGATAGAATCACAAAGCCATGTTGATTTAGCAAGTGAACAAGCAGGTCTTTTTGATCAGTGTTGTGGTTCTCAAGAGGTAAAGAACCTTGAGGATTTAAAGACACTCATTCTTCTCGAGCAGTTCAAAAATAGCCTTCACGAAAGGGTTGCTACCTACATTTATGAGTACAAGGATCTCACTCTTAAGAAGGCTGCAGTTCTGGCAGATGAGTTTGTGTTGACACATAAAACTACCTTCACAAATAAAGCACCCAGTACTTATCCTTACGCAAAAAGCAATCCAGAGAAGTCCCCTCCTACTGCGAGGTTTCAGTCCTTTTCTACAGTGCCCAAAGATAAAGATCAGCAGAAAACTATTTTTTTGTATCCGCCAGTTTTGTCATTACTGCCGTGAGAAAGGACACATTGTCTCTCAGTGTCCTAAGTTGAAGCAGAAGAATGAGAGAGAGGTTGGGACTGGTGTATCTCCTAAACAAGATTTTGTATCAGATGTGTATGAACCCTTTGTTTCAGACAGGTTTGTGTCTCTGCAGAGTGGCGATGCTGTTAAGCAGCCGGTGAAGATACTGCGAGACACTGCGGCAGCCCAGTTATTCATTTTGGAGGGTGTTTTGCCTTTGTCTGACACTTCAGCAACTGGTTACAGTATGTTAGTACAAGCTGTGGAGATGGGTTGCATGGAAGTTCATTTGTATAATGTGGAACTCGAGTGTGATCTTATTTCTGGTTCCGTTGTCATTGGAGTGAGGCCTAGCCTACCGGGGAACGGGGTCTCATTCATTTTTGAAAACAATTTGGCTAGAAGGAAGGTAATGCCAAATCCTGTCGTTTGTAAGTAACCTAGAGTAGAGGAACCTGATGGGTTATCAGAAAAGTACCCTAGAGTGTTCCCAGCATATGCCGTTACACGTGCTATGTCTAAGAAAGTCGCCGGGAGCAAGTCTAGTGTTGAGGAGGATGTCAGCAATCCCACCATGGTCGATCTGTCTGAAACGTTTGTGTGATCCTGATTTCTGTAAAACTCCTGAGTTGACCTCTCCTTTGAAAACCCCAAAGGTGGGCAAGTTTGTAGGACCGCTGAAGGAAGAGAGGGTCCCTACCGTTAATAATTTGATGTCTAGGAAGCAGCTGATTGCTGAACAGAGTAAAGCTGTTTCCCTCTCCCCTTTTTTTGCTGAGATACGTCCAGAGGAGGAGTTTGATTAAGTTTGTGAGGGTTACTTTGACAGAGGTGTTCTAATGAGGAAATGGCGTTCTCGCGCCACTTCTGGGCAAGACGATTGGCCCAGTGTATCTCAAATTGTCGTTCCAGTTATGCTTCGACAAGAGATACTGAGGTTGGCTCACAATGGTAGCGTGGCAGGCCATCTTGGAGTCAACAAGACGTATGACCGTATCTTACGTAACTTCTTCTGGCCTGGTCTGAAACAGGATGTTGTGTCTTACTGTAAATCCTGTCACGTTTGCCGGGTAAACTGAACCAAGCTGTGCCGGTTGCACCTTTGCAGCCTATTCCTGCTTTTGATTAACCTTTCAGCAGGGTTCTGTTGGATTGTGTTGGTCCATTGCCCAAAGCAAAGAGTAGTAACCAGTTTCTCTTGACCAACATGTGCGCTGCCACTCGTTTCCCTGAGGCCATTCCACTGAGGAAAATCATGAGAGGAAAGTTACTACGGATATTGCAGGAGTTTCCCCTTGAAATCAGACATGTCCGTGGTAAGGAGAACTTGGTTGCTGATTGTCTTTCAAGGGTGGGCAGTCAATAGGTTTTGTGTTTTGTGTTTGGCCAGTGTGTAGCCCTAGCTCACAATTTATTTTGACTGCACGTTTTGCCGTTTTGGTGATTCGTTTTGTTTGGGATTGTTCCAAGGGGATGAGAGTTATAGAAACGTACTTGACTTTTCCTATGTCTCTCAAAAACGTCGGAGTTTTAGGCAATAAATAAATATATATATATATATATATATATACAGTGAGGGAAAAAAGTATTTGATCCCCTGCTGATTTTGTACATTTGCCCACTGACAAAGAAATGATCAGTCTATAATTTTAATGGTAGGTTTATTTGAACAGTGAGAGACAGAATAACAACAAAAAAATCCAGAATAACGCATGTCAAAAATGTTATCAATTGATTTGCATTTTAATTAGGGAAATAAGTATTTGACCCCCTCTCAATCAGAAAGATTTCTGGCTCCCAGGTGTCTTTTATACAGGTAACGAGCTGAGATTAGGAGCACACTCTTAAAGGGAGTGCTCCTAATCTCTGTTTGTTACCTGTATAAAAGACACCTGTCCACAGAAGCAATCAATCAATCAGATTCCAAACTCTCCACCATGGCCAAGACCAAAGAGCTCTCCAAGGATGTCAGGGACAAGATTGTAGACCTACACAAGGCTGGAATGGGCTACAAGACCATCGCCAAGCAACTTGGTGGAAGGTGACAACAGTTGGTGTGATTATTCACAAATGGAAGAAACACAAAATAAATGAAAATCTCCCTCGGCCTGGGGCTCCATGCAAGATCTCACCTCGTGGAGTTGCAATGATCATGAGAACGGTGAGGAATCAGCCCAGAACTACACGGGAGGATCTTGTCAATGATCTCAAGGCAGCTGGGACCATAGTCACCAAGAAAACAATTGGTAACACACTACGCCGTGAAGGACTGAAATCCTGCAGCGCCCGCAAGGTCCCCCTGCTCAAGAAAGCACATATACAGGACCGTCTGAAGTTTGCCAATGAACATCTGAATGATTCAGAGGAGAACTGGGTGAAAGTGTTGTGGTCAGATGAGACCAAAATGGAGCTCTTTGGCATCAACTCAACTCGCCGTGTTTGGAGGAGGAGGAATGCTGCCTATAACCCCAAGAACCCACCGTCAAACATGGAGGTGGAAACATTATGCTTTGGGGTGTTTTTCTGCTAAGGGGACAGGACAACTTCACCACATCAAAGGGACGATGGACGGGGCCATGTACCTCCTTCCCTCAGCCAGGGCATTGAAAATGGGTCATGGATGGGTATTCCAGCATGACAATGACCCAAAACACACGGCCAAGGCAACAAAGGAGTGGCTCAAGAATAAGCACATTAAGGTCCTGGAGTGGCCTAGCCAGTCTCCAGACCTTAATCCCATAGAAAATCTGTGGAGGGAGTTGAAGGTTAGAGTTGCCAAACGTCAGCCTCGAAACCTTAATGACTTGGAGAAGATCTGCAAAGAGGAGTGGGAGAAAATCCCTCCTGAGATGTGTGCAAACCTGGTGGCCAACTACAAGAAACGTCTGACCTCTGTGATTGCCAACAAGGGTTTTGCCACCAAGTACTAAGTCATGTTTTGCAGAGGGGTCAAATACTTATTTCCCTCATTAAAATGCAAATCAATTTATAACATTTTTGACATGCGTTTTTCTGGATTTTTTTGTTGTTATTCTGTCTCTCACTGTTCAAATAAACCTACCATTAAAATTATAGACTGATCATTTCTTTGTCAGTGGGCAAACATACAAAATCAGCAGGGGATCAAATACTTTTTTCCCTCACTGTATACATACTCTACCAGTCAAAGGTTTGGACGCACCTACTCATTCAAGGGTTTTTCTTTATTTTTACTATTTTTTACATTGTAGAATAATAGTGAAGACATCACAACTATGAAATAACACATATGGAATCATGTAGTAACCAAAAAAGTGTTAAACAAATCAAAATACCCACATATGCTGAGCACTTGTTGGCTGCTTTTCCTTCACTCTGCCGTCCGACTCATCCCAAACCATCTCAATTGGGTTGAGGTTGGGGTATTGTGGAGGCCAGGTCATCTGATGCAGCACTCCATCACTCTCCTTCTTGGTCAAATAGCCCTTACACAGCCTGGAGGTGTGTTGGGTCATTGTCCTGTTGAAAAACAAATGATAGTCCCACTAAGCCCAAACCAGATGGGATGGCGTATTGCTGCAGAATGCTGTGGTAGCCATGCTAGTTAAGTGTGCCTTGAATTCTAAATAAATCACAGACAGTGTCACCAGCAAAGCACCCCCACACCATAACACCTCCTCTTCCATGCTTTACGGTGGGAACTACACATGTGGAGATCATCCGTTCACCCACAACGCGTCTCACAAAGACAGGGCAGTTTGAACCAAAAATCTCCAATTTGGACTCCAGACCAAAGGACAAATTTCCACCGGTGTAATGTCCATTGCTCGTGTTTCTTGGCCCAAGCAGGTCTCTTATTCTTATTGGTGTCCTTTAGTAGTGGTTTCTTTGCAGCAATTCGACCATGAAGGCCTGATTCACACAGTCCCCTCTGAACAGTTGATGTTGAGATGTGTCTGTTACTTGAACTCTGTGAAGCATTTATTTGGGCTGCAATTTCTGAGGCTGGTAACTCTAATGAACTTATTCCCTGCAGCAGAGGTAACTCTGGGTCTTCCTTTCCTGTGGCAGTCCTCATGAGAGCCAGTTTCATCATAGCCCTTGATGATTTTTGCGACTGCACTTGAAGAAACTTTCAAAGTTCTTGAAATGTTCAGTATTGACTGACATTCATGTCTCAAAGAAATGATGGACTGTCATTTCTCTTTGCTTATTTGAGCTGTTCTTGTCACAATATGGACTTGGTCTTTTACCAAATAGGGCCATCTTCTGTATACTACCCCTACCTTGTCACAACACAACTGATTGGCTCAAACGCATTCAGAAGGAAATAAAGTCCACAAACTAACTTTTAAGAAGCCACACCTGTTAATTGAAATTCATTCCAGGTGACTACCTCATGAAGCTGGTTGAGAGAATGCCAAGAGTGTGCAAAGCTGTCATCAAAGCAAAGGGTGGCTACTTTGAAGTATCTCAAATATAAAATACATTTTGATTTGTTTAACACTTTTTTGGTTACTACATGATTCCATATGTGTTATTTCATAGTTTTGATGTCTTCACTATTATTCTACAATGTAAGAAAAACCCTTGTATGAGTAGGTGTGTCCAAACTTTTGACCAGTAGTGTATATATATTTTTTAAAGTACATATATATAAAAATAAAAAAGTGGCTGTTATTGACAGCCAGTAGACACCATATTTATATTGGAGAAGGTGACGCATTTAAGTAGCGACGCATTTAAGTTGATCATGTTGTGAGATGGAGGTTATTTTCTGTTGGTTGTGAGCAAACTTGTCCAACAAACATATGGGTTATATTTGTTGTCTTAAGGAGGAAGGTGTTACAGGCTTTGGTTTTTCCATGTATATTTTGAGGATAAACATTAGCACGTTAGCACGTGGGGCGCACCGATTGGTGTCACCTCGTTGTCATCTCGTTAGTGGGAAGGTGTTTCACCTGTGCTGACCCAGGTGATATTTGAGAGTGGCTGGCCCAGTGCTCCAGTTGTCTTGAGAGATGTAGAGAGTTAACACTTTTTGTTGGCGCTCCCTATTTGATTTCTAGAAATACAATCCTTTATCTGATCTTCCCTGTTTTTGTCTTGCTCCACTTTTTATTTTGTTTGCCTGTTCTTGGGCACATTTAGTGGGCGCTCATTGGTGGGTGTCTTTTAGGTCCCAGCTGTTGTTGCTAGTCAACTTTCAGTGGACACCCCCATGAGTGTCTTTCAGAACCCCTCCTAAAACCCCACCTGTTTCATTTTGGTTGTGGTCAGTGACTCTGTTTGAGCGACATTATTTGGTTTTCTTGCTGGGGAACGTAACAGTGGCTTATTAGGGGCGTAGCATCATATGATGCAAAATGAATCATACCGGCTGTATTTCTATATTTTGAAAGTTATATATCTTAACTTGATTGCTGACATGCAAAACATTTTGAAACAAATACCAAAATATGGTTTTTGGGTGGAGTTTTCCTTTTAGGAACACATCAACTTCTGTAGGCCTTCTGTAAGCCTCATAAACGCTTCAAAACTGTCAGTGTTCAACCTTAACATGCTGTAATAATACAATAGAACAGATGAACAGAAATTACATTTACTATCACAAGTGGCCAAAAATAACTATCTGAAAGCCATGCCCCTATTAAGCCATGCCTCTGTTGGATTATATCTCAATAACCCAGCATCAACAACCCAACCTCACTCTTTTTAAAGAACACAACCCAACTAAGTGACCCAATGCCTGCAACCCAGCATTTTTTTTGACTGTACAGTTTGTAGTAACAAGGGTGTCAAAGTGAGAACAAAACCACTCATGACTGCTCTGATGCTCAGAACTCTGGCACAATAAACTCAGTCCCTCCATACTCCATACTTGTTGACATCCTGCATGATGTTTCCCGGCCAGGCCAGCTCGATCTTCAGCTGCCCCTTGTGCTCAACAAAGAAGTCCACCAGGGTCCGTGTGACGGTGGCCGAGGTGTGGAGGAAAAACGCAGGGATCCACAAAATGGCCCCCTCCAGCTTCTTCAGGTTGAGAAAGAAGTTGTTCCGGTCCTGGATGGTCAGCAGGTTGTTGTAGTACCTCTCCAGGATGCTGGGGTTAAAGGTGGTGAGGTTGGTCTTCCGGCCCACATCCTTGTAGTAGGAGTCGGTAGGGGCGAAGTTGCAGCGGAAGATAAAGTCGGCGCTGTCGATCTCTGGCCCACAGTGACTGCCTGTCAGGATCCCACTGTTACCCACCACGGCACACACGTTGTAGTGCTTGTTCTGGATGGGCGAAGCATCAGGAAGCAGTGACTTCAGGTTGTTGTTTATGGAGAAGACATACTTGTGACTGGAGAAGTCGAAGTGCATCAGCTGGCCGACGCGCACACCGTTCTTGGTGAGGGAGAAGTTGTTGGCCACATCGATGTAATGGAAGATCTCTTTCCTGAAAGGTAGTAAACAGATCAAAATATCAGCTCACAGCTGCTGTTTCAACAAAATGCAGTTATGTAGCCAACTGCAAATGGCAAATAAACTGTAATGTTTTACTAAACACAAACAGTATTCTGTTAAACTGCTTTACAAACAATATAAATGTTTCTACAGATTATTACAGATATCCCACATAATCATAATACCTTTGCTGATAAAAAGCTGTCCTATTGAATTTCCATTTGGAGGGTTTCCCTTGCAGCTCCTCGTTCAGAGCATGGGTTAATGGGATGAAGGATGGGTCCAGGAAATTCAGGGCAAACTGTGACCTGAGAGGAATAGGGTTTCCCTTAGTAAAGACACTGTTGATATTGTCAGCATGTACTGTAAGCATTACAGTGGGTATCATAAGTATTCACCCCCTTGGATTTCTTCACATTTTATTGTGTAACAAAGTGGAATTAAAGTGGATTTAATTTCCATTTTTTGTCAACGATCTACACAAAATACTCTGTAATATCAAAATGTCAAAAAAAGTAACATTTCTAATGAAAAATGAAACACTAGTATACCTTGATTAGAAAAGTATTCACCCCCTGAACCAATATATGTTAGAAACACCTTGGGCAGTGATTACAGCTGTGTGTCTTCTTGTGTAGGTCTCTAAGAGCTTTGTACACCTGGATTGTGCAATATTTGCCTATTATTCTTCTACATTCTTCAAGCTCTTTCAATGTGTTGGAGGTCATGGCTAAACAGCAAGTTTCAAGTCTTGCCATAGATTTTCAAGCAGATTTCAGTCAAAACTTTAACTTGGCCACTCAGGAACAGTCACTGGCTTCTTGGTAAGCAACTCCAGTGTAGATTTGGCCTGGTCAATGTCCTGCTGAAAGGGTCATTCATCTCCCAGTGTCTGGTGTAAAGCAGACTGAAGCAGGTTTTCCAATAGGATTTTTGCATGTGCTTTGCGCAATCCCGTTTCTTTTTATGAAACTAAGGAGGCAGATTTGCCCCAAACATAACAATTTGCATTTAGGCCAAAAAGTGTATTCCTTTGCCGTGTTTTCTTGCAGTATAACTTTAGTGCCTTGTTGCATACAGGATGCATGTTTTTAAAATATTTATATTCTTTATATTTACTCTGTATTGTTATTTTCACTCATTCAGTCATTTAGGTCATTATTTTGGAGTTGCTACAATGTTGTTGATCCATCCTCAGTTTTCTCCCATCAGTCTGTAGCTCTGTAGCTGTTCTTCATGGTGACATCCCTGAGCAGTTCCTTCCTGTCCTGCAGCTCAATTCAGAATGATGACTGTATCTTTGTTGTGTCTTTGTGGCTTAATACATCATACACAGCATAATTATTAACTTGACCATGCTTAAAGAGATATTCAATGTCTGATTAGTTATTGTTACCCATCTACCAATCACTGCCCTTCTTTATGAGGCTTTCGGAAAAGCTCCCTGGTCTTTGTAGTTGAATCTGTGCTCAAAATTCAATACCTGACTGAGGGACCTTAGAGAGGTTGCATGTATGGGGGACAGAGGAAGGGGTAGTCATTCAAACATCATATCAATCCCTATTATTTCACACAGAGTGAGTCCATGTAACTTATTATGTGATTTGTTAAGCCAAATTTTACTCCTAAACTAATTTAGGCTTACCTAAACAAAGGGGGTGAATACTTATGCAAAGACTAACGTTAGCCTATATTTTAGTTAATGAATTTGTATTCATTTGGAAACATTTGTAGAATGTTCTTTTCGCTTTGACATTATGGAGTATTTTGTGTAGATCAATGACAAACAATACACATTAAATCCATTTCAATCTCACTTTGTAAGGCAATAAAATGTAAAGAAAAACAATCCAAGGGGGGTGAATACTTATGGACATTCTTATGGACATTCAATGATTCTACAGTTGAATTTTCATAAATGTAAGTGATGCAGGGATTTGCATTAGATTAGGCTACTGCTGCGTGCAGAGTAATATTATTTATTTCGATTATTTATTACGTATCCAAACCCATTCAGTCCGTGCTATCCGGGATCCGTGGGACATCCCTACCACATTGAAGTTGACATTTAAAATGGTTAAGTTAAGGGTTAAGGTTAGGGTTAGGTAAGGGTTAAGGTTAGGGTAGGGGTTAAGGGTTTAAGGTATGGACGTCCCAAGGATTCCAGACAGCACTGACCAAAGCCATTCATAGCATGCATTCAGGCGTGGTCTTGTCACAATAGGCACGATTCGATCATTCAGCACCTTGGACAGTTCTCTTGTTTGAAATCGGGCTCCTAGTGGAGCAACGATTTTTTGTCACATATGGACATTTAAAAAAAAACATTTAAACACTAACCTCCTGTCAATGATTCTACAGTTGAATTTTCATAAAAAAATGAAATGTAATTGATGCAGGGATTTGCATTAGATTAGGCTACTGCCGCGTGCAGAGGAATATTCTTTATTTTGATTATTTATTAAGGCCCTGACTCCTCTGATGCAGTTAGCCATATAATGCCATAGCCTACAGAACAATGTGGACATAATCGATCATAAAGATTGTTGGGGGAAAAATTGTCACGCGTGCGCCTTGTCAGTGACATAAATCACATCTTCTCTGACAATTTCAGGGGTTTTGAGTCATATCAAAAGAAACAAGTATGAGCTTCAAGGTCTTGGTTTAGCCTACTCACCGAAATCCTGCGTGGAACATTATCCGTGGTGGTCCTCCCATGTTGTCATATTTTGTGGAAGAGAAGATGCTGTCCTTTCTAATGGACACATAACTTATTAAGGATAAAATGAGAAGAGCAACAATCAATATGACCAAACCCAGGGCGTTTGAGATGCGGACCATCTTGGAGCGTTTTCATTCCTTGAAGAAAAGCGATGAAAATGTGCGAGCCTTCATCACCTCGAATCGAGATGTTGATTTTGGCTATAAGTATTGGTATTATGATAAAAAATAAACATGCTTTCTCATGTAAAACGGACGGCAAATGTGCACTGCGGTTGAGATGGCAGGATAGTCATTGGATGGCAGTCGGCTGCCTTGGCGATGCGTCTTCGTGCACTCTCATCATCCCTGCAGCCTTGGCTTCGCGCTAAACTGCAATTTCTCTCCAGCCAGCTTAATACCATTAGGGCGATGCGTCTGAAATTTACCTCAACGCATCAATCCAGCAAACATCTCACTGCTCTGTTACGCACCCTGTCACCAGGAAATAATTTCACATACACTACCGGTCAAAAGTTTTAGAAAACCTACTCGTTCAAGGGTTTTTCTTTATTTGTACTATTTTCTACATTGTAGAATAACAGTGAAGACATCAACACTATGAAATAACACATATGGAATCATGTAGTAAACAAAAAAGTGTTAAACAAATCAAAATATATTTTATATTTGAGATTCTTCAAATAGCCACCCTTTGCCTTGATGATATTTCGCAAATGTGGAAGCCTGATCAGCATCGCAATAAGGGATTTCCCTACAAACTTGTACATCTCATGAAGAGTAACATATACACTACATGACCAAAAGTATTTGGACACCTGCTCATCGAACATCTCATTCCAAAATCATGGGCATTAATATGGAATTGGTCCCCCCTTTGCTGCTATAACAGCCTCCACTCTTCTGGGAAGGCTTTCCACTAGATGTTGGAACATTGCTGCGGGGACTTGCTTCCATTCAGCCACAAGAGCATTAGTGAGGTCAGGCACTGATGTTGGGCGATTAGGCCTGGCTCGTAGTCAGCGTTCCAATTCATCCGAAAGGTGTTCGATGGGGTTGAGGTCAGGGCTCTGTGCAGGCCAGTCAAGTTCTTCCACACCGATCTCGACAAGCCATTTCTGTTTTGACCTCGCTTTGCGCACGGGAGCATTGTCATGCTGAAATAGGAAAGGGCCTTCCCCAAACTGTTGCCACAAAGTTGGAAGCACAGAATCGTCTAGAATGTCATTGTATGCTGTCAAACCCAGATTCGTCTGTCGGACTGCCAGATGGTGAAGCATCACTCCAGAGAATGCGTTTCCACTGCTCCAGAGTCCAATGGCGGCGAGCTTTACACCACTCCAGCCGACGCTTGGCATTGCTCATGGTGATCTTAGGCTTGCTTTCATGAAGTTCCAGATGAACAGTTCTTGTGCTGACGTTGCTTCCAGAGGCAGTTTGGAACTCGGTAGTGAGTGTTGCAACCGAGGACAGACGATTTTTACACCCTACGCGCTTCAGCACTCGGCAGGCCCGTTCTGTGAGCTTGTGTGACCTACCACTGAGCCGTTGTTGCTCCTAGACATTTCCACTTCACAATAACAGCACTTACAGTTGACTGGGGCAGCTCTAGCAGGGCAGAAATTTGACCAACTGAATTGTTTGAAAGGTGGCATTCGATGACAGTGCCACGTTGAAAGTCACTGAGCTCTTCAGTAAGGCCATTCTACTGCCAATGTTATGGCGATTGCATGGCTGTGTGCTTGATTTTATACACCTGTCAGCAATGGGTGTGGCTGAAATAGCCAAATCCACTAATTTGAAGGCGTGTCCACATACTTTTGTGTATATAGTGGATGATTCATATGGGATTTGTTAAACAAAATTAACAATAATAGGGAATACACAACAAGGTTTAAAAATACTACTCTTATTTGTAGGGTTCTTTTTTCAAGTAAACATGGTTCGTTTATAACAATATGTTGATATACAGTAACATAAGATGGCCTATTCACAAAGCATGATACAACTTTTTCTTCATTTTATTTTTTACAAGTTATGTACTTTTTTACTTGTTTAAATATAAATATTTTGCACATGTACTGAATCTCAATAGACAACAATCACCATCATTCTCTAACACAAATAAAATTTACATACAAGTCACCGTTCATAGAATACAGTATCATCCTGCATATTATCTCACAAACACATTACAATAACATGGTGTATAGGAAACTTTTACTGAATATTATCCTATTTAACTGGTAGAAACTTGCACAAACGTACCAATATGTTGGGTATTTCCCATTGATTGAAACAGTCAGCGCACGGGTTTGACATCCTAGGAAGAAAATCATTTCACCATTGTGCTTAATGTCACCTGGAATGTGTCAAGTTTGGACATACAGTGGGGAGAACAAGTATTTGATACACTGCCGATTTTGCAGGTTTTCCTACTTACAAAGCATGTAGAGGTCTGTAATTTTTATCATAGGTACACTTCAACTGTGAGAGACGGAATCTAAAACAAAAATCCAGAAAATCACATTGTATGATTTTTAAGTTATTAATTTGCATTTTATTGCATGACATAAGTATTTGATACATCAGAAAAGCAGAACTTAATATTTGGTACAGAAACCTTTGTTTGCAATTACAGAGATCATACGTTTCCTGTAGGTCTTGACCAGGTTTGCACACACTGCAGCAGGGATTTTGGCCCACTCCTCCATACAGACCTTCTCCAGATCCTTCAGGTTTCGGGGCTGTCGCTGGGCAATACGGACTTTCAGCTCCAAAGATGTTCTATTGGCTTCAGGTCTGGAGACTGGCTAGGCCATTCCAGGACCTTGAGATGCTTCTTACGGAGCCACTCCTTAGTTGCCCTGGCTGTGTGTTTAGGGTCGTTGTCATGCTGGAAGACCCAGCCACGACCCATCTTCAATGCTCTTACTGAGGGAATGAGGTTGTTGGCCAAGATCTCGCGATACATGGCCCCATCCATCCTCCCCTCAATACGGCGCAGTCGTCCTGTCCCCTTTGCAGAAAAGCATCCCCAAAGAATGATATTTCCACCTCCATGCTTCACGGTTGGGATGGTGTTCTTGGGGTTGTACTCATCCTTCTTCTTCCTCCAAACACGGCGAGTGGAGTTTAGACCAAAAAGCTCTATTTTTGTCTCATCAGACCACATGACCTTCTCCCATTCCTCCTCTGGATCATCCAGATGGTCATTGGCAAACTTCAGAGGGGCCTGGACATGCGCTGGCTTGAGCAGGGGGACCTTGCGTGCGCTGCAGGATTTTAATCCATGACGGCGTAGTGTGTTACTAATGGTTTTCTTTGAGACTGTGGTCCAAGCTCTCTTCAGGTCATTGACCAGGTCCTGCCGTGTAGTTCTGGGCTGATCCCTCACCTTCCTCATGATCATTGATGCCCCACGAGGTGAGATCTTGCATGGAGCCCCAGACCGAGGGTGATTGACCGTCATCTTGAACTTCTTCCATTTTCTAATAATTGCGCCAACAGTTGTTGCCTTCTCACCAAGCTGCTTGCCTATTGTCCTGTAGCCCATCCCAGCCTTGTGCAGGTCTACAATTTTATTCCTGATGTCCTTACACAGCTCTCTGGTCTTGGCCATTGTGGAGAGGTTGGAGTCTGTTTGATTGAGTGTGTGGACAGGTGTCTTTTATACAGGTAACGAGTTCAAACATGTGCAGTTAATACAGGTAATGAGTGGAGAACAGGAGGGCTTCTTAAAGAAAAACTAACAGGTCTGTGAGAGCCGGAATTCTTACTGGTTGGTAGGTGATCAAATACTTATGTCATGCAATAAAATGCAAATTAATTACTTTAAAATCATACAATGTGATTTTCTGGATTTTTGTTTTAGATTCCGTCTCTCACAGTTGAAGTGTACCTATGATAAAAATTACAGACCTCTACATGCTTTGTAAGTAGGAAAACATGCAAAATCGGCAGTGTATCAAATACTTAAATTTACATTTACATTTTAGTCATTTAGCAGACGCTCTTATCCAGAGCGACTTACAGGAGCAATTAGGGTTAAGTGCCTTGCTTAAGGGCACATCGACAGATTTTCTCCCCACTGTAGATTGACACCAGCAACATCTTTAAAAAGGCTTTCAAAGATCTTATTGCCAGTCAGCTGCCAAGATATTGCAATTTAAATCTCACTCAGATCTAAAATCATAACAAAAGTTTAAAAACAGCACATGGATTAATACAGGCACTTGATTGGGCCTGCCGTTCAGTATTTCCAGAATACATACGTATGTAGCAGAGGTGGTTTGTTGGACTACGTTCCCGTGATCAGTAACCTGTCTTTGGACAGGAAGACTTATGTTAGCTTCCACACCTAGGCTTTAGCTAAGAGGGCTAACCAGGCGCACAGGCAACCCGAGTTCGATACCAGTCTGTCACACATACAGTATGGTAAGTAACATAAACTATTTTGTTCTGAATCATGACTACTAAGGAAGGGGAAACATTACATTTAGGGAAAAGTTACAGTTAGCACCCTGGTTACACAATCTCAATCACAAGTTTGAGCTCATCAAAAAGAGAGGAGTATCATTTTCTGCCATGGTTGCGAAACTCTGAGGGGAAGAAGGCTCCCTCTTCGTCGCTGCCAGGAGAGCTGCACGGGTTGTCCTCTTCACAGCTCATGCCCTCAAAGGAATCCTCACTAAATATACACAGGGGAGAACAGATATCATCATTACTGTCTTGAAGCCACTGTTCCACTGACCTAATGTTAGTGAGTTCACTTTTTTCTTCTTCCCTGAAACATCATAGCAATGCTGTACAATGTAGAAGTAATATGGTGCATTATGTTGCAGTTCAATAATGAGCCTTTATGTACACACAGTAGCTCTAGTGATATAAAATATTAATATTATTATACAGTAAAGTGCATTAAAGGGGCTGTTTGTTTACCTCTCACTTTCACCCCAGCTCCCCTCTGGAATAGTTGGCAGTTCAGGGACACTGAAGTGATTAGCGTGCAAATTTGGGGCGGTTTGTCTGGACACGATCCACACCAGTTTTTTGTTGTCTGGTTTGTTACATTCACTTGAGCTGTACTCAGTCATGCATTTGGCCACAAGTCCCCTCCAGTAGAGTAACTCACTGTCAACAATCTGTGAAAGAAATAGGAAATATCTGAGGAGGCTGATACATTTTACATTTTTTGTCATTTAGCAGACGCCCTTATCCAGAGCGACTTACAGGAGCAATTAGGGTTAAGTGCCTTGCTCAAGGGCACATCGACAGATTTTTCACCTAGTCGGCTCGGGGATTAGAACCAGCGACCTTTCGGTTACTGGCACAACGCTCTTACCCACTAAGCTACCTTCTATGATAGATGATAGAAGACATAAATAGAGTAGTCTTGGAAAATGTTGTCTCAGCCAAGTCAGAAGGTGCTAGTTTCCATGTAGCATGTTTTCAGATGATTTCACTTGTTTAGGGTAAAGCTACTGTATAAATGTCAGTGTCAGCCTCAGTGGGTCTTTGTATTATAAAAATATAATAACTGTCATTGGTCATGACACCATCATGTCATACTGAGGTCTGTAATTAAACTGTATAATACCTTTAGGTGCCTTTGGACTTCTTGGACAATTTCCAACATGGCAAGAGACTGGAGGGCTTCAAACTCCTGATTAATGACAGACAGTGCCAGCACCGATGGCTGAAAAAATTAAAATACCTTAGCGGTCCTGCAACTCAAAGTATACATTCTTATAATTTAACTATTGTGTTGGCCTGAGAATAATTATTCCTTTTGCTTTAGAGAAAACAAGCCGACATAAGCAAGCTTTTAGCTGGGCTTCCAGTCTCCCAATGCTTGGGATCTCCTCCCTTAAAATAAAGGCAACCCTCATGTGATCCTCATGTCAACTGATCATCAGCAGATCAACTTTACAACTTCTAGCAATTGGAAAAATACATCCCTGATGACATAATGCAAAAAGAGATCAATTAAGAAACAAAGCGCTCACCTTTCTGATGTAAGTGATATGATGACAGCATGGTATAAGTGTAAAAAGGTTAAGGCTGTGACGGCTTTGAGCTCCAAGTTGAGTTTTCCAGAGATGATGATCTCCATGCGGCTGAGGTCAGAAACAGTGAACTTGCTTTGGCTGATGCGGATGAGTTCATGTGTGGGTGAGATGTTGCACTCATCCTCAACCATTTTGGCAGCAATATGGAGACAGGAGACTCCAACGCAAGGCATATGCTTAGGTTGGACCTGTGAACATACCATTATAGTGATACATAAGTCAGCATAAATGGGCTACTTCTGCCGAGTTCTATTATATACTGAACAAAAATATAAAAAGCAACATGTAAAGTGTTGGTCCCATGTTTCATGAGCTGAAATAAAAGATCCAAGAAAAAATAACCATATGCATAAAAAGCTTATTTCACTCAAATGTGGTGCACAAATTTGTTTACATCCCTGTTAGTGAGCATTTCTCCTTTGCCAAGATAATCCATCCACCTGACAGGTGTGGCATATCAAGAAGCTGATCAAACACCATGATAATTACACAGATGCACCTTGTGCTGGGGACAATAAAAGGCCACTAAAATGTGCAGTTTTGTCACTCAACACAATGCCACAGATGTCTCAAGTTGAGGGAGTGTGCAATTGTCATGCTGACTGCAGGAATGTCCACCAGAGCTGTTGCCAGAGAATGTAATGTTCATTTCTCTACCATAAGCCATCTCCAACATTGTTTTAGAGAATTTGGCAGTACATCCAACCAGCCTCACAACTGCAGACCACATGTATGGCGTCATGTGGGCGAGCGGTTTAATGATGTCAACGTTGTGAACAGAGTGCCCCATGGTGGCGGTGGGGTTATGGTAGGGCAGGCATAAGCTACGGACAACGAACACAATTGCATTTTATCGACGGCAATTTGAATGCACAGAGATACCGTGACGAGATCCTGAGGCCCATTGTCGTGCCATTCATCAGACATGTCACACATTGAGCATGTTTGGGATGCTCTGGATCGATGTGTACAACAGCGTGTTCCAGTTCCCGCCAAAATCCAGCAACTTCGCGCCGCCATTGAAGAGGATTGGGACAACATTCCACAATCAACAGCCTGATCAACTCTATGCGAAGGAGATGTGTCACGGTGCATGAGGCAAATGGTGGTCACACCAGTTACTGACTGGTTTTATGATCCACGCCCCTACCTTTTTTAAAGGTATCTGTGACCAACAGATGCATATCTGTATTCCCAGTCATGTGAAATCCATAGATTCGGGCCTAAAGTATTAATTTCAAGTGACTGCTTTCCTTATATGAACTGTAACTCAGTAAAATCTTTGAAATTGTTGAATATTGCGTTTATATTTTTGTTCAGTATAATTAAACTCAATAAAAAGGCATGCAAATTGACATAAGTTAAACAACAACACAGGTATCAAACAATAAACAAAAATGCATACAAAACGCTAATTATGTAGAATATCCAGAATGACAGGGTGACCATATCACAACACAACAAGCATATCTTTTAAAAAACTTAGAGTTGATTTCCACGCCACCCGCGAAATGTAATTAGCATAATACAAAAATCCCCATAAAAATCTGTCAGTTTAAGCTAGAGATACGTCTCAATCCACCACATCCACTGGTACCAGTTGAAAAAAATGAATGGAAGTATACATGGAGACTGTTTAGTGCCAAAAATAAGGGGTTAAATACATCTAAAAAAAAAAAAAATCAAATCAAATCCTGATCTTTCTTATATCTCTCAGATATAGTTCAGACACTTCAGAACAAACTTCCTTTAGATTTTTTTTGGGGGGGACTATCTGTTGTACCATGTAGAATCTGTTTTTTGGGGGATACTTCAAGGGGTCTTAAAATTCTAAATCAAATAACTAAATAGTCCTTGGTATGACCTTCTTAAAACAATTCCATATAGCTTAGTAGAACAACCCCCCCCCCCCCCAACATGTTTCATTGTCAAGGTCTTGAAGATCCTGCATCCTGAAAAAACATGTTTTATGTGATTAGCTAGATCCAAAAGAAATAAAATGTTTCCCCTCCGAGAAAGAGAGACTATAAATTTAGACTGTCTACCCCACCCACAGGGTGTCAAGTATCAATGGTAACCACCAATAATAGCTAGATAGATCCTCAAAAAATTCTACAGCTGCACCATCGAGAGCATCCTGACTGGTTGCATCACCGCCTGGTATGGCAACTGCTTGGCCTCTGACCGCAAGGCACTACAGAGGGTAGTGCGTACGGCCCAGTACATCACTGGGGCAAAGCTCCCTGCCATCCAGGACCTCTATACCAGGCGGTGTCAGAGGAAGGCCCTCAAAATTGTCAAAGACTCCAGCCACCCTAGTCATAGACTGTTCTCTCTGCTACCGCACGGCAAGCGGTACCGGAGTGCCAAGTCTAGGTCCAAAAGACTTCTCAACAGCTTCTACCCCCAAGCCATAAGACTCCTGAACAGCTAATCATGGCTACCCGGACTATTTGCACTGCCCCCCCACCCCATCCTTTTTACGCTGCTGCTACTCTGTTAAGTATTTATGCATAGTCACTTTAACTCTACCCACATGTACATATTACCTCAACTACCTCAACTAGCCGGTGCCCCCGCACATTGACTCTGCAACGGTACCCCCCTGTATATATAGCCTCCCTACTGTCACTTTATTTTACTGTATATATAGCCTCCCTACTGTCACTTTATTTTACTTCTGCTCTTTTTTTCTCAACACTTTTTTGTTGTTGTTGTTTTATTCTTACTTTTTTTGTTTAAAATAAATGCACTGTTGGTTAAGGGCTGTAAGTAAGCATTTCACTGCAATGTCTGCACCTGTTGTATTCGGCGCATGTGACCAATAAAATTTGATTTGATTTGATTTGAGATAGCTAGCTATGACATAACAATATACTGTATGCCCAATACAGTCATAACAATATACTGTATGCCCAATACAGTCATCTTAAAAACAAAAAAGGCTAGCATTATCAATAATTTTCATTATTTCTTATTTAAAGAGTCCAGCAAAATATTCGATAGTAGAATGAATGGACTGAACCATGTTGAAAAGCAACCAGTCTATTCTAATGTTTTACTTGAAGGGAGCGGGGTTGAAGCTAGCTAGGTAAATCTAAAAATGTTGAATATGGGTCACGTTATTTAGCTAGCTAGCTAACTTATCAAGCTCATATTGTAACCGTATGTGGAACATTATTTCTGACGCAATTCATTCACATGATTCATCTTAGCTATCCCATGTATCTCAAATTACATGCGAAGAGTATATTATAGCTAGCTACCAACTGCAAAACACAGGGTCAACAAGCTAGGCTAGCTACCAGCTAGTTAACGTTAGTTAGCTAACGAGACAGAGACATTTCTTACTTTGCCAAACGCTTGACACAAGACGATTTTGTGAAAATATAGCAATTCACTATTCAAATTTCCATTTCGTTTACAACAACTCGATTAGCTGGCTATATTAGCTATAGCGTAAATTAACAAGATAGTTCCTAAATTGACATCTCCTAATGTTGGTGTTGATAATTTCCATCTGAACTGCGGATGGATCAAACGGTCGTTGTCGAAACAAACTGCGAGAACTACAACATCCATCTTGCACCGGTGGATGACGACACGTTGTAGGCTAACGACGGACAGGGTTCCCACCATATGCCGCGTTCAAAACAACTGGGAAGTCGGAGAAATACGTAATGACATCAGGAATCTTCAGGTCGCAGCTCTAGAAAGATCGATTTTTCCCAGCCGTAGCTCGTTTTTTCCGAGTTCCCAGTTGTTTGGAACGCACTGAAGTTGGAAGTCGGAGATTTCCGACTTCAGTCTGTTTAAAAAGACGGGTAACTCGGAAAGCTCCGATTGCGAAACTATCGATTTGAACGGTCATCCAACTCGGAATTCCAACTCGGGAACGCGGGCCTCTTTCTAGAGCGCCGACTTTCCGACCTGAAGATCACTGAAGTCATGATTTGTTGTATTTTTCAGAGTTCTCAGATGTTTTGAACGCGATATATGGCTTTGTGGCTGTGGTAACTAGTCTGACTTTTTGTACTACTACCCTTTAATATTTTGTTTTAACGGAAAGTAACCATATTTCTGTTAGTTCTTGAGATAGTATATACAAACGTCCATATTTAGTAACAACTTTCGGGAGTTAATCTTTCTAAAATCCACCAACTCTGAAGAAAGCGCGAAATCAACAGTTTCCATGGCGACGAAGCTTCGCTACTACTTGTTGCTTGCAGGCGCTGGTTGATTTTCACATGCTATCCCACACGGCTAGCTAGCTAACCAAGTGATAATGTCATCTGGATCCCAAAATTCCATATCCAAAGATAGTCATTTATCTATTTACAAAGCCTCTGAATTGTTTGATGATGGATTATTGCACGAGATTCCAACAACAAGTAAGTAAATTAACCTGACTAGCAAGCTACACTACGGTATGTGGACATCTGCTCGTCGAATATCTCATTCCAAAATCATGGGCATTAATATGGAGTTGGTCCCCCCTTTGCTACTATAACAGCCTCCACTCTTCTGGGAAGGCTTTCCACTAGATGTTGGAACATTGCAGTGGGGACTTGCTCCATTCAGCCACAAGAGCGTTAGTGAGGTCGGGCACTGATGTTGGGGGATTAGGCCTGGCTCGCAGTCGGTGTTCCAATTCATCCCAAAGGTGTTAGATGGAGTTGAGGTCAGGGCTCTGTGCAGGCCAGTCAAGTTCTTCCACACCGATCTCGACAAACCATTTCTGTATGGACCTTGCTTTGTGCACAGGGGCAGTATCATGCTGAAACAGGAAAGGGCCTTCCCCAGACTGTTGCCACAAAGTTGGATGCACATAATTGTCTAGAATGTCATTGAATGCTGTAGCGTTAAGATTTCCCTTCACTGGAACTAAGGAGCCTAGCCCGAACCATGAAAAACAGCCCCAGACCATTATTCCTCCTTCACCAAACTTTACAGTTGGCACAATGCATTGGGGCAGGTAGCATTCTCCTTTCATCCACCAAACCCAGATTTGTCCGTCGGACTGCCAGATGGTGAAGCGTGATTCAGCACTCCAGTGAACGTGTTTCCACTGCTCCAGAGTCCAACGGCGGCGAGCTTTACACCACTCCAGCCAACGCTTGGCATTGCGCATGGTGATCTTAGCCTTGTGTGCGGCTGCTCGGCCATGGAAACCCATTTCATGGAGCTCCTGACAAAACAGTTATTGTGCTGACGTTGCTTCCAGAGGCAGTTTGGAACTCGGTAGTGAGTGTTGCAACCGAGGACAGACGATTTATATGCGCTTCAGCACTCGGCGGGCCCGTTCTGTGAGCTTGTGTGGCCTACCACTTCGCGGCTAAGCCGTTGTTGTTTCTAGACGTTTCCACTTCACAGTAACATCACTTACAGTTGACCGGGGCAGCTCTAGCAGGGCAGAAATTTAACGAACTGACTTGTTGGAAAGGTGGCATCCTATGACGGTGCCACGTTGAAAGTCACTGAGCTCTTCAGTAAGGCCATTCTACTGCCAATGTTTCCATTGGAGATTGCATGGCTGTGTGCTCGATTTTTATACACCTGTCAGCAACGGGTGTAGCTGAAATAGCCAAATCCACTCATTTAAAGGGATGTCTACATACTTTTGTATATACATTGCTAGCTACTAACCTACTAGCAAAGTTCAGTGTCTTATCACATAACTGTGCTGATTCCTGGCATCAGTGGCAGCACTGAGCCCTCCCCATTTGGCTATCTAATTTAGCTAGCTACCTCTATCTTACAGGTACAAATGACACCAGTACTGTCCCTAGAAGGTACAACAATCTGGAAGAGTTGAGGTAATTTTGCCCTTTTCCTTAAATTACTCTAGTTAATTAACTTCCCCACATCCTTTTCAAAACACTAGCCACCTGTATTTGAAAACAGATTGTCTGCCTTTTGCACCATGAACCATCATCCATTTGGAAGCGAGTTTGTTACGTTGTCTTTCTTTCTTTACAGTGAGGAGCTCGACAGACGAACCAAGGAGACCCAAATGCTGCAAGAAGAGGTGGAACATGCAACTAAAATTACTATGGAGAAAATGGGCCGCACATGTCCCAGCAGCTCACCCTCACAAATTAATTACTTTCCTATGTTTATGGGTGAGTATGAGGTTTTCTTGTGTGTCATGAAGAAAATATAGCCAGTACTAGCTATACAGTTACACATCGGAGCTATTGTCACAACCAAATATGTCACTAACCTATTTTGAATTATGAAATTACCTGTAGTAGTTTGCTGTGATAAGTTTTCCTTATTGCCACTATTTTTTATATTTTTTATTTTTATACAGATGGTTCATCGGAGGAGAACTCAGAAGTGCTGTCACCGTACCGACAGTCTGTGATCCAGCCTCTTACATATGGCCTGGATGTGGAACTGGTCAGAAGTGGCATAACTTTCCCTGGGAAAGATGTTTTGGACAATGCAATAGGGGACTACTCTCAACAGGTGTCAGAGCTCCATAAGCAGCTGAGTGAGGTTAGTGTGAGATACAGTCCTATTTTTTCTCCTTTCCTGGTGAGAGTTACATATTATTGTGGAAGGCCTCTTGAACTCAATGATTCTAATATCAAAAGCCATGAAATTCTTTGCCACATGAGGTGCCATTGATTGCAACCTTTGCTAATACTTTTTCAGACACATGAGCTTCATGAACAGCAGAAGTTCTACTTCCGACAGTCCATCATCAAGCTGCAGACAAAGTTGCAGGAGGTCCAGATTGAGAAAGATGCCCTGACTGATCTAAGGTAATTGATGCTGAAACTGTTGTACTGTATACCTTTGGACAGATACAGGCTCTCTGCAACGGGAGTATAGGACATGTTTTACAGTCCACTCAATGCCCACTGGGCACAGACGTCAATTCAACATCTATTTCACGTTGGTGCCACGCAATTTAATTGAAATCAACCAGTGAGTGTCCAGTGGGTGTTAATTGTTTTGTCCCTCAGAATGAAAGAGAGCAGAAAACAGGCAGATGTAATTGGGAAAATGCAAGCAATGATCAGGGAGCTGCAAGTCACTAAACAGACCTGGGACCAGAGGCTACTGGAGGCTGAGGATGAAGCAAAGTCACAAAGCAGGAGAGCAGAGTCAATGGAGCGGACACTACAGGAGGTGTACTCCACGCTGTTGGCTTATGAAAAACGCTGTGGAAACAATTCGTACACCAGCCAGGACGCACTGGGTGTTGCGGTGGAGAAAGTATTACAGGACTTGGAGCATGCAAATCACAATCTGAGAGAAAGCCTTCTGCTGGTAAGGATGTGTGTGTTATGTTTTATTTCACACTAAACAATTTTATAATAATATAATAATAATAATAATATGCCATTTAGCAGACGCTTTTATCCAAAGCGACTTAGTCATGCGTGCATATTTTTTTTTTTTTGTGTAAGGGTTTGAAATGTTGTTCTTGATATTGTATCTTTCCATTCATAACTCATTGTGCCAGCTGAAGGAGCAGATGGAGACTCAAGAACAGAAATGCCAAGGGAAAGCAGAGATAATGTTGAAGGAGCAAAGGGAAAGGTGCATTTTCATTAACTTTCCACAATTCTTGTCTGTCACTTGGGTGATTTGGGATTACAGTCATTCATTCACTAATCTGATAGCCCACACATTTCCTGCATGTAAGGCTGTATGGTATAGAATTTACCTTCACCCACTGAGAATTTGTTGTAACCCTAAAACTGCAAGTATGTTCGAGGCAAGTTCCTAGAGGTGACATGTAAAGTTGCCTTGGTTGGGTTGCTTTGCTCTTTTCCAGAATGGAGCAGTTTATTACCAGTCATGACCAGGAGGTGGCGATATTGACTGAGAAATTGAGCAGCTCCAGAAGCAGTGCCTCCAGCTTGTGTGTCCAGGTGGAGTTGTTACAGTGAGCGACATGAATTAACTAGCAATACTATATCTACACATTTTCTGAGTTTAATTAAATTGAAAGCTCTCTATTTTCCCCCAAAATGTATAAAGTCACTCATCTTTTCATTCAGTTGTAAGACACAAGTCGAATCTTTCAGAAAGTGTCCAAATTAATGCGTTATTTCCTTCTCACCAGAAAAAAAGGTGAAAGCCAGGCTTCAGTGCACCAGTGTCAGGTCAATGACTTGGAGTCAGCTCTCTCCATCCTGCGCTCCGATCTACTGGATGCCCAGCGGGGCCATGAAGACAAGGTCACAGCTAACACACACGCCTATTGTGTTGTAGAATAGTAGAGTGGTCTTGGTCTTTTCAAACAAAGGTTTAGGAGGGAGACATTGTAATATTCTACGTGAAAGTTCTGAAGGTTTGGGTTGTCATGATGTTGTGTGCCAGGTGGGTACTCTGGAGATGCAGTTGGCCGAGGCCCAGTCACAGGTGGGGGAGGCCCAGAGAGGGAGAGACAGATCTCTCCAGCAGGCAGAGGAGCTGGACTCTCGGCTCTGCCAGCTCACGGTAATACAGCCCAGCCTCAGACACAAACAGGAAGGATACTGTACATCCATGGCTCCCTGCTGCTGTGGAAAGAGATCCGGTATCTTTGCACATTCTTTGATTCCAGCAACCCAACGTCTGTCTATCATTGTGTTTGATATAAATATTAATCTGACTTTTTTATCAAATCAGTTCAAACCTGTGAACTCAAACAGAGATGTTTGAATAAGAGTCAGTACTGTATTACGTGTGTGGTGTCAGTCAGCGCTGTGGCAGGCCCGTGAGCAGCTGGCCATGGAGAAGGAGCAGACCAAGCAGCACATTTTCTTTGAATGGAAGATGACACCAAGGCCTTAGTTGTCAAACACTCATTATTTCTAGTCTCCTTTACCAGTTGTTGGGCGAGAAGCATCAGCGGGAGCAGCAGGAGGAGCTGGCTGTGCTGCGAGGGGAGCTGGAACTGACCACAGACCAGCTGAACAGGGCCAGGGACGAGGAGCTGCGGCTGCAAGCCCTGAAGGGTAACCAGGACAAGGAGCTGAAGAGGGTCCAGGCGCTGCTGGAGGAGAGGGACAGGGAGCTGCAGCTGAGGCAGCAGGAGGTGCAGCAGGGACGGGCCAGGCTGGAGGAGTTCCAGGGCCGTTGCCAGGCCCTCAGGGCAGAGACTGAGGTGCTGAGGCTCAAGCTGGAGGACAGGGAGAAAATGGTGGACGTGCTGCGGCTGCAGATGGAGAGCACCACCCAGATGACGGTGCAACATGGACGTAGCATCGACTCCCTGCACAAAGAGAAGAGCTGCCTCAGCAACCAGCTCAATGAGCACAAGCTGGAGATCCAACAGCTAAGGGTTAGTTAGTTAGAGTTAGTCTGCTAGTTAGTTAGTTTTGATCATCTACTTTAGTTTCAAGGTTGGTTGTCTACTACCCCTCTGGGGGGAAAACTTGGCATACTTCTAAATCAAGACCAGATTTTGAGCTCATTCAGGCTGCTAAGGGGAATCATCAGGCTTGTTCATTGTCTTGGATTGTATAATACTCCATATTTTTCTTTTTGGGTGTGTTTTCAAAGCTATCCTACTAATACCGTTCCAACCCTGCTGTGTCCCTCCCTTTACAGACATGCTTGGAGCAGCGTGAGGAGTGTTTGGCGGTGCTGGAGCAGGAGAGGCGAGTGCAGCAGGCTGGCTTGTCCAAACAGAGCTGCTGTGTCAAGGAGCTGACGCTGGAGAAACAGCAGCTCACCGCTGAGCTAGAGGTGCAACGCATGCAACTGGTCTGCCTCACAGGTACACTGGCTGTCATAGATGGCTTTCATATGAGAATATTCCCCTCTCACAGATAAAATGATGTATCCACTCTGTCTGTTCATTCAAACAGTTATTTGCTTATGTTTTCTATTAATTATGATCTGTATTAATTCTGCAATAATAAAGACCGTTCAGTGATTAGATATAATGGCCTCCATTTCACCAGTCTTTAGGGAAAAATATAGGTATTCAGTGGCAAACGGCAAGAACAATGATCAAGTTGCTACACTGTGTTGGAAAACCACTACAGCATGTAGTGTATGTTTTTCTTGTTCACCAAGCCCTTGTGCTTTGTGTGCATGCGGTGGTGTGTGTCTGTATGTCTGTCCCCCAGAGGAGCATGAGGAGTTGAAGAGGCTCCACAGCAGTAAGAGTGAAGAGCAGGAGGGTGTGGTGGTGGGTCTGAAGGCCCAGCTGAAGACCACCCGGGCTGAGCTGGACCAGGCCAGGAGCACCCTGAGGACCCTGGAGGGAGCGGACGGACACGGTCAGCACTGCACATCAGAGAGAACATTATATTATAGCAGAGATCTATGTTTATATGGTTATGGGAAATCTGAGAGAGGACTGACTAGGGACACTGATGAGTAAATAGCTCTGGAAGTAATGAGAATTTATGCTCTTTTGACCTGATGAAGATCCGTGTTGGATCGAAATGTTGTCAATAAATGTGGTAATTGGGAGCATATTCAGTGTGCAGCATTTCTGTTATTTTCCATGTTCTTTATGTCACTCATTGTGACATTATTCACCTTGGATTTGGTTGATTAATTTCCCTACTCCATTGAGTCAACAGAAAGAGATGAGATTAGATAGACCTTGATTGACTCGATTCTCTCTGCCCTGGCTCCCCTTTCTCTGTCCAGGCCTGAAGGTTGCCATGGGGATGCAGAAGCAGATAACAGCCAAGCGGGAACAGATCGACTCTCTCCAGGGCCGAATTCAGCTCCTGGAGGAGACCATGGACAAACTGAACGAGGTAGGAACATCTCAACGTCTACTTTAGTGCTCCAAATTCTGAGTTACTCCATTGTGTCTATCATTATTACACATGCCCTGGCTTCCACACAGATAAAAGCCATGTGTCCTTAAGTAAGTAGGGATTTAAAACAGCAAGATAGTCTGGTGTTCACTTAAATGTATAATAATCTGCCTTCAATATCGTCTCCCCTCCCAGGAGAAGCGTTACCAGAGTCTAGAGAGTAAGCGTCAGGTCCAGCTGCTGGCTTCAGTCACTGAGGAGAAGAGACAGGTGGCAGCAGAGGTAGAGACCGTCCGCTCCCTGGAGAGACGGCTCAGGGAGAAAGTCGCCAAACTGGAGACGGCCCTACACAAGGTGGTGTGGCACTACCTTGTATTTACACTCACTTTATCACACACCGTATGAAGACAAGTGTACATCTCGCTCTGACTGACCCCCATTTTCACCTACTATGTTCTTCAGATGTCTGAGAGCTTTGTCCACTGTCAAGACTTCATCCAGTTGCAAGAGCAGGAGTTTGTACGTCTGAAGCTGCAGCATGCTCTGGATGTGAAGGTACAGCTCACTACATTTTTACATTTTAGTCATTTTAGCAGACGCTCTTATCTCTTTATGAGTGCATACATTTAAAAAAAAAAATTATACTGGCCCCCTGTGGGAACTAGGATGGGTGTCCATCTGCCTCTATAGAAGTCTAATGCATATGGTGTTTTGTTGTTTGATTTGCATTGTACTCAGAATATCCTTTCTCCTCTAAACTGTCTATAACCTTCTATGCTGTATGTATGCTTTTTCAAGTGCTGTGTCTTTTCTGCAGGAGCTGCAGGGCCAAAACCTGCGAGCCACAGGTAATGCTCAGCGTGCTTCCCTCTCCAGCCCAACAGCCCCGACTGCACTACCCTCCACCCAGCACGGCTCGAAGTGCCTGCTAGAGGTAGATCAATACAGAAACCTCCTACAAAATGCCTTGTGGCTCCAATCCTTCCAGGGCCTGGCTTTGTTGATGTTTTTTCAGCTGTGGAAAAGAAAGACACAAGCTCAGCACATGACTTCCCCCAAATTAAAAGCACGCCCTGATTGCATTCCTGTGGCAGCATGACAGACTCGTTCATCAACCGTTTGACTTGACTCCGCAACAGCCAGATTTAAGCCAATTTACTCAAAGCATGGAAGGATCCCAGATAGTCAACAATAGATTTCTGTGTTGAATATACTGTAACCCATAATGGGTATTAGCCATAATGGTATTTTACTCAGCATCTCTTCACCCCTCTTGCAGTTGAAGCCTCAGCGGCTGCTGGAAAGCCCCACCATGGAGCTGCGGTCCCTAGTCAAAGAGCTGCGAGGTGTGATTTCTGAGAACCCCGGACCACACACCAACAGAAGCACCCTCAGAAGGAGCTCTGCTCCAGAGAGGGATCACAGGACCACACTGTAAGTCTGACCTCAGTCACTCTGAGTGTGACATCTAAGGTCACGATGCTACTAGTTTTTTCCCAACATTTTTTTGTTGTGCGTCATTCACTTGGTTTCTGAAACCACAGTGGTTTATTTCACAAACATGTTTCACAACCATGTGACATGTTTCTCAAAACAGCACTTAGTGACATGTTTCTCAATGAATACAAGCTTGTGTCCTCTTTGGTTCTCAATCAACCCATAAACTACAATCATGTGGAGCTTCTTTCATTCAAATTTCATGCAATAAAAATGTCTCTTACAGCAACGAAGTGACAAAGAATGTTACAAGCAATGCCAATATGACAAAGGGGACCAACAGCAGGTAAGAGCATGTATCCTGAACCTCATGTTTCTGACTGCCTGAGCATGGCTGTTGGCAACCGGTCCCTACCTCTGTATAATGGCTTCACTAATCCTCAGGCCACATGAATGTGCATTCTGTATGTGGCTTCGTTCTGTTTGTGTATGCTATATGTGCAGTGGTGTGCCTCACCCCCTTAGGACAACTGATCTGGATGAGCGGAATTTAAACAGCACCTTCTCAAGCGCGAGTGAGTTTGTCTCTGTTGGTACAACCGACCACTTTAACCCACTCAACAAATCATGTGCTTTATTTTCCTAATTTCATATGTGTCATATCACTCTACTAGACCCATTATCATCCCTGTGGTCCCCCTTCAAACATGATATGATCAAGGTATACAGTTTTAAGCAGTTAACCGTTCCTCCACTTCAGACATTGTTTGCTATTTCTACAGGCCATGACTTATCTTTTGCTGTATCTCTGCCTTGCTACACTTCGTCCCCTCGAGCCATGGCACTGGGCCGCAGGTCCCCTGTACATTCACTTCTGACCTCTGACCCCAACCCCACACCTCCACCACAGAGCAGGCCTCAGGCAGAAAGCCCTCTCACAGACACACACACCTGTAAGTCCCACTGCCTTCTGTATTATTACAACTCTGTTGTGTAACCAATGTGGGAGACAACTGCCCCAATTAAATGGCCTTGGAGAACCTCCGTTACTTTACAGTATGTCATCATAATAACGTTTGAATTTCAGAACTCTAATTTGATTACTTGTGGTTCCACTTGAAATGTTTGTCCAGTGGCCAATCCGCAGGCTGAGTTGACAGGAGACACATGCAAGCACTTGCAAGGAAAACTGGACAGCCTCCAAAACATAGTGGAGGACTTGCAGATGAAGAACCAAGGTTTGTTGAACAGAGACAGTGTTTTTGTGTTCATATGACTGCTGTGCAGCGCAGTGGTCGGTGACTGACATCAGTGCTAAAGAACCAAATCTGTATTCTGAGTTTTGAATTAGCCCAATGTTGTCCAAATGTAACAGTTGTGAGAATCCGGACTTCCATGTTATATCTGCCCCTCCCTGCCTCACGTAGCAGACTAAATTGTTTAATAGGAATGTAATCAGGACATAGAGAATCAGGATGTTGATTATATTGGTTTGGAGATAGGTCAATTTCATGAAAACAAATTCCTGATTAATCCAGAAAAATTCCATTGCTGTTTATGTCCGATAAGATAAACTGTATTGGCCCAAAGGTGAAATTTGTCTTGAAAACACTGTTTCTGTGAAGAAAAATACATTTAAAGTAATGATTGTTGTTTTTTGCAGAAATGTCCTCTATGATAAAGGGTCAAGAGAAGAGGATGAGAAATGTCAAAGACAAAAGGAAGCTTTAGAAAAATCAAGGCTCTGAGTGAATGAGTACTTGTGTAACAAAAATAAACTTGTATTTAAAAAATAAAGGCACTCTATGATCATTATGGTGAATTGTCTTTTATTATGAATTCAATTTGCCCATGGCATGTTACTTTCAACATGGAAAAATTGGCACCAAATATATAGGATTGGCACCAAATATGACAGTAGGGGATTGGCACCAAATATGACCGTAGGGGATTGGCACCAAATATGATGACAGGAGGATAAACAACAGGCTAGCAGGTTATTCTTGTTATTCACGAAAGATGTCATTATTCAAGGTAACTGAGGATGATCTTTGATGTACATGCATTGACAGTCAGTCAATGATTTGGAAACATGAAAACTCGTGAAAAATTAGGAGAACCTTTGTACCAGCTTAGCATAAAACATTTTTATCTCTTAGTTTGTTTTGACAAATTGAGTGTAGTATTGTGTAACTGCCCTACATATTGCCTAAAGGAACACTCCCTTTCCGTGTTGAAGCCGAGCCTGCTGCATCTGGCCTTGATCGGTTGTCTTGCTCCTCTTCTTCAAAGAGAGTACTCAGAAACTGCAAAATATAAGAAAATAAACCCAAGTTTAAAAGCCAACTAATTTATTGAAAAAAAAAAAATATATATATATATATATATTAACTGACATTGAAATTCAAACACCTGTGCTGTGAAGCACGACCTGCGTAAACATGTGAAGCAATGTTGTCTTACCCTAGGCACCCTCAGCCCTTTGCTGATGATGAACTGCTTGAACGCTTGAGTCCCATGCATCTGTTTCAGTTCATCATCCTATTGAGAAGACAAATTATATCAGATAATTTCGCCTGAACCGTCAATGGGGATTGATATTCTGATTGATAGTCAAAGCCAGTTGTCTAATTTTTACCCACAAAGAACAAGGACAAGTGTAAGAGTTATACCAAAGACCCACCATTTCACTTGGTTGTGCTGGAAACTCAAAGTCCTCAGGGATGACATTGGGATCTCGTAATGGTTCATCAGCATCTCTTTTCTTCCATGTTTTAGTATCCAGGTACCATGCTCCATATTTGGTCCTTTTAGTTCTTGGTTTGCTCTGTTGAACATGTGCATTATATTTTTTTTTCCGTAGGCAGGAAACAAATAAAACATGTCATCACTGATGTGGTGTCACGCCCTGGCTCTGGGGACTCTTGTATGTTGAGCCAGGGTGTTAGTTTCTTTGTGTAGTGTCTATGTTTCGTTTTCTATGTTCTGTTCTAGGTTATGTGTTTCTATGTTGGCCGGGGTGGTTCTCAATCAGAGGCAACGAGAATCAGCTGTTGCTTGTTGTCTCTGATTGGGAACCATACTTAGACAGCCTTTTGTGCACTTGTGATTCGTGGGATCTTGTTCCGTGTTGGTTTGTGTTGTTAACCGAGGACTTCACGTTTCGTTTGTTGTTTTGTATCGTGTTGCTAGTACACTATTAAAGAAGATGTACGCATATCACGCTGCGCCTTGGTCCAATCATTTCGACGTACGTGACAGAAGATCCCACCAAAACAGGACCAAGCAGCGTGTCCAGGAGCAGACAGCCTGGACTTGGGAGGAGATCTTGGACGGGCAGGGGTCCTGGACTTGGGAGGAAATCCAGGCCGGAATGGATCGCCGTCCGTGGGAGGAGACGGTGGAGGTGCGCCATAGAGAGGAGCAGCGGCGCCAACCGGGCCGACGTCGGACACACAAGAGGCAACCCCAATAAATGTTTTTTGGGGGGCACACGGCATGGACGACGGGGCTGCTGGAGGTAGCTACTGGGCGAGGTTGTGGATTAGGAGAGGAGGCCACCGGGTTTGGGGGGCTGGAAGGGAGGTTGGTGGAGCCTAGATGTAGAGCAGAGCCAACTCCCCGTACTCAGGCTAGGCAGCGTGAGACTGGGCAGGTTCCGGGGTATGCGGAGCTGCGTACTGTGCCGCGAGTGGTCCGGCACAGTCCGGTACGTCCTGTGCGAGCACCACGCACGTGTCGTGCTAAGGTGGGCATGCAGCCAGGACGGAGTGTGCCGGCTCAACGCTCGTGGCCTCCAGTACCCCTCCTCGGTCCCGGATATCCTGCGCCAGTGTCACGTGCTGTAGTGCCAGTACGAGTACACAGCCCTGTACGTCCTGTGCTGATGCCTCACACAGAGTGTGTAAAAATAGGCATTCAGCCAGGACGGGTTGTGTCAGCTCTTCGCTCCAGACCTCCAGTCCGTCTCCACAGCCCGGTCCGGCCTGTTCCTGCTCCCCTCATACCAAGCCTATGGTGCGCGTCGCCAGCCCGGGCCGGCCTGTTCCTGCCCCTCGCACCAAGCCAATGGTGCGCGTCGCCAGCCCGGCCCAGCCTGTTCCTGCACCCCGCACCAAGCCAGTGGTGCGCTTCGTCAGCCCGGTCCAGCCCATTCCTGCTCCCCGCACCAAGCCAATGGTGCGCGTCGTCAGCCCGGCCTGTTCCTGCTCCCCGCACCAAGCCTGTGGTGCGCGTCGCCAGCCCGGTCCGGCCTGTTCCTGCTCCCCGCACCAAGCCTGTGGTGCGCGTCGCCAGCCCGGTCCGGCCCGTCCCTGCTCCCCGCACCAAGCCTGTGGTGCGCATCGTCAGTCCGGCACAGCCCGTGCCTGTTTCACCGGTGCCTGGTCAGGTACCGGTCAGCTGCTCCACACCGGAGCCTAAGCAATCCGCTCCACCGATGTCCAGTCCACCTCCAGCCACCGGGGCCAGACCAGACCAGGGGCGCTACGGGGGGGTTGTTAGAGGGTGGTGGTCACGCCCGGAGCCGGATCCGCCTCCGAGGTGGAATGCCCACCCGGCCCCTCCCCTGTTGGGTTTATGCTGGTGCGGTCGCAGTCCGCGCCTTTGGGGGGGGGGGGGGTACTGTCACGCCCTGGCTCTGGGGACTCTTGTATGTTGAGCCAGGGTGTTAGTTTCTTTGTGTAGTGTCTATGTTTCGTTTTCTATGTTCTGTTCTAGGTTATGTGTTTCTATGTTGGCCGGGGTGGTTCTCAATCAGAGGCAACGAGAATCAGCTGTTGCTTGTTGTCTCTGATTGGGAACCATACTTAGGCAGCCTTTTGTGCACTTGTGATTCGTGGGATCTTGTTCCGTGTTGGTTTGTGTTGTTAACCGAGGACTTCACGTTTCGTTTGTTGTTTTGTATCGTGTTGCTAGTACACTATTAAAGAAGATGTACGCATATCACGCTGCGCCTTGGTCCAATCATTATGATGACCGTGACATGTGGACATAGTTGTGGATACTGCCTTTTAGAAAGTGAAGAACTGTACAAGCAATTTAAGCATTTTCTTTCATCTGTGTTTTGAGTTCCGTGGGCCTCAAGCTGAGACACTCAATACCTTGTATGGTTCTGAGTCCTTTAAGGGGTCCTCACAGGTATGGGCTCTGCGCAGGTCCTCCACAGAGTTACGTAGGTCCTCTGGCACGTTCTTAGGCTCAACCACCTGGATAGGGAAGGTCAGGGATGGCTTCTTCTCATACCCACTGACAAACAGGCCCAGTAGGGTGGATTCAGTCAGGTTGTTCTTCTCTCCTCCCTGTGAGAGTCAATCATTCATTTACCAGGGAGGTTAGATTTTAAGATCATAAAGCCTCTGTTCCTGCTTCTACAAGGTCATTTAGAATATGATGATAATCAATCATTATGATCTTTACTTGACCTTTAATTAGGGTGTGTAGTCCTCACCTTCTTGGCCGGTTAGTTCGCTGTGCTTACCAATGAGGTGACCCAGTCACAGAAAAGCTTTGTGACTTTCTTGATGTCCTCGTCTTGAGATGGGGAGCGCAGTCGTTTGAAGTTTACTATCTGGTCTTCCTTGGCACTGCTCTGCTTTCTTTGCAGCCCTTTGTAAGGGTTCTTTGCACAGAAATCGTCCGTCCTTCAACCAAATAATAAAGGGGTAACAACAGTAGTTATACCACTTGATGAACAGTTTATACCCTAGTAATGAAGAGTTTGCCCCAAAACAAACTTCTCTAGAAATCTACTTACATTATTGCACTGACAGGTGGTCCCTCTCTCACTTCCTCCTCTGACTCCGATTGCTGCATGATGGTTTCACACGGCTCAGTGCAGTCGTCCGCCTGCTCCTCTTTTTCTGGTGAAGTCACTGCAGAAGCTCTGCTCACACACATATCCGGATCCAGGACACATATCACCTGATCAAACAACTATGGGATGAATGACAATCAGTAGGACATTATATTGTGTTGTTACAAGTAAGCAAAACAAAGTCCTGCTGTAAGAACAGCGTAAGACTTGATTACTGTAATACTTTAGGGGCTGGTTTACCAGACACAGATTAAGCCTTGTCCTGGACTAAAGCCTTTTCAATGGAGGATCTCCATTCAACATGCTTTTTAATTTTAGTCCAGGACTAGGCTTATTCTGTGTCTGAGAAAACAGCCCTTTATGCCTTATTGCAAAAAGGATCGAGAGGCAACTTTTATCTGCAATGTGATGACATCGCTGATTAGTCTTATCTACCTGCCACTCACCTCTGGGGGCATGCCATGCTCTAAATGTGGGTACAGAGCCAAAGGATGCTGTTTGAGTTTGTGCTCCACTGCAGCCACATGCTCCCGGTGTGCCTGCTGCTGAGGATTCTTCTTAGAGAAGCAAGCCTGCTCTTTCGAGAAGCGCTTCCATTGTGTTTTATCAGAAAGAGATGTAGGACTTGGCATCCCAAAAATGGAAGGGGACGTGCCCCTCTGGGCCTGAGAGAAAACCTTTGTGCCAGCAGTAGGATATCCATCTCTGAAGTCATCAAGTCCCACATTTAGAAAACGCCAACGACGGCCATCCAAAGCACCTGAGAGATGATGTTTGTTCTTTGCATCTTTCAAACATTTGGTCATCAACTTTTCCTTGTACCTGTGGGTTAAATCTAAATTAAAGCCTTCACTACTTTCACATTGCCCACAACAACATTTAGAAGCTCCAGTCCAGAGAGACTGGATTGGAAGGTTATGTGTCAATGTTACAGTGGGGGAAAAAAGTATTTAGTCAGCCACCAATTGTGCAAGTTCTCCCACTTAAAAAGATGAGAGAGGCCTGTAATTTTCATCATAGGTACACGTCAACTATGACAGACAAATTGAGAAGAAAAAAATCCAGAAAATCACATTGTAGGATTTTTAATGAATTTATTTGCAAATTATGGTGGAAAATAAGTATTTGGTCACCTACAAACAAGCAAGATTTCTGGCTCTCACAGACCTGTAACTTCTTCTTTAAGAGGCTCCTCTGTCCTCCACTCGTTACCTGTATTAATGGCACCTGTTTGAACTTGTTATCAGTATAAAAGACACCTGTCCACAACCTCAAACAGTCACACTCCAAACTCCACTATGGCCAAGACCAAAGAGCTGTCAAAGGACACCAGAAACAAAATTGTAGACCTGCACCAGGCTGGGAAGACTGAATCTGCAATAGGTAAGCAGCTTGGTTTGAAGAAATCAACTGTGGGAGCAATTATTAGGAAATGGAAGACATACAAGACCACTGATAATCTCCCTCGATCTGGGACTCCACGCAAGATCTCACCCCGTGGGGTCAAAATGATCACAAGAACGGTGAGCAAAAATCCCAGAACCACACGGGGGACCTAGTGAATGACCTGCAGAGAGCTGGGAACCAAAGTAACAAAGCCTACCATCAGTAACACACTACGCCGCCAGGGACTCAAATCCTGCAGTGCCAGACGTGTCCCCCTGCTTAAGCCAGTACATGTCCAGGCCCGTCTGAAGTTTGCTAGAGTGCATTTGGATGATCCAGAAGAGGATTGGGAGAATGTCATATGGTCAGATGAAACTTTTTGGTAAAAACTAAACTCGTCGTGTTTGGAGGACAAAGAATGCTGAGTTGCATCCAAAGAACACCATACCTACTGTGAAGCATGGGGGTGGAAACATCATGCTTTGGGGCTGTTTTTCTGCAAAGGGACCAGGACGACTGATCTGTGTAAAGGAAAGAATGAATGGGGCCATGTATCGTGAGATTTTGAGTGAAAACCTCCTTCCATCAGCAAGGGCATTGAAGATGAAACGTGGCTGGGTCTTTCAGCATGACAATGATCCCAAACACACCGCCCGGGCAACGAAGGAGTGGCTTCGTAAGAAGCATTTCAAGGTCCTGGAGTGGCCTAGCCAGTCTCCAGATCTCAACCCTATAGAAAATCTTTGGAGGGAGTTGAAAGTCCGTGTTGCCCAGCGACAGCCCCAAAACATCACTGCTCTAGAGGAGATCTGCATGGAGGAATGGGCCAAAATACCAGCAACAGTGTGTGAAAACCTTGTGAAGACTTACAGAAAAACGTTTGACCTGTGTCATTGCCAACAAAGGGTATATAACAAAGTATTGAGAAACTTTTGTTATTGACCAAATACTTATTTTCCACCATAATTTGCAAATAAATTCATTAAAAATCCTACAATGTGATTTTCTGGATTTCTTTTTCTCAATTTGTCTGTCATAGTTGACGTGTACCTATGATGAAAATTACAGGCCTCTCTCATCTTTTTAAGTGGGAGAACTTGCACAATTGGTGGCTGACTAAATACTTTTTTCCCCCACTGTATGTATACTGAACAAAAATATGAACACAACATGTAAAGTGTTGGCCCCATGTTTCATGAGCTGAAATATGCACAAAACGCTTATTTCTCCCAGATTTTGTGCAACTTTGTTCACATCCCTGTTAGTGAGCATTTCTCCTTTGCCAAGATAATCCATCCACCTAACAGGTGTGGCATATCAAGAAGCTGATTAAACAGCATGATCATTACACAGGTGCACCTTGTGCTGGGGACAATAAAAGGCCACTCTAAAATGTGCAGTTTTGTCACACAACACAGTGCCACAGATGTCTCAAATTGAGGGAGTGTGCAATTGTCATGCTGACTGCAGGAATGTCCACCAGAACTGTTGCCAGAGAATTGAATGTTCATTTCTCTACCATAAGCCCCCTCCAACATTGTTTTAGAGAATTTGGCAGTACGTCCAACCGGCCTCAACCGCAGACCACGTGTAACCACACCAGCCCAGGACCTCCACATCCGGCTTCTTCACCTGCGGGATCGTCTGACACCAGCCACCTGGACAGCTGATGAAACTGTTGGTTTGCACAACAAGAATTTCTGCCCAAACTATCAGAAACCATCTCAGGGAAGCTCATCTGCGTGCTCGGCGTCCTCACCAGGGTCTTGACCTGACTGCAGTTCGGCATCGTAACCAACTTCAGTGGGCAAATGCTCACCTTCGATGGCCACTGGCACGCTGGAGAAGTGTGCTATTCATGGATGAATCCCGGTTTCAACTGTACCGGACAGATGGCAGACAGTGTGTATGCCGTCGTGTGGGCGAGCATTTTGCTGATGTCAACGTTGTGAACAGAGTGCCTCATGGTGTCAGTGGGGTTATGGTATGGGCAGGCATAAGCTACGGACAACGAACACAATTGCATTTTATCAATGGCAATTTGAATGCACAGAGATACCGTGACGAGATCCTGAGGCCCATTGTCATGCCATTCATCCGCTGCCATCACCTCATGTTTCAGCATGATTATGCATGGCCCCACGTCGCAAGGATCTGTACACAATTCCTGGAAGTTGAAAATGTCCCAGTTCTTCCATGGCCTGCATACTCACTACACATGTCACCAATTGAGCATGTTTGGGATGCTCTGGATCAAAGTGTATTACAGCGTGTTCCAGTTCCCACCAATGTCCAGCAACTTCACACAGCCATTGAAGAGGAATGGGACAACATTCCACAGGCCACAATCAACAGCCTATGGGAAAGATATGTGTCGCGCTACATGAGGCAAATGGTGGTCACACCAGATACTGACTGGTTTTCTGATCCACGCCCCTACTCTTTTTTTTTTTAAAGGTACACTACATGACCAAATGTATACGGACACCTGCTCATCGAACATCTCATTACAAAATCATGGGCATTAATATGGGGTTGGTCCCCCCTTTGCTGCTATAACAGCCTCCACTCTTCTAGGAAGGCTTTCCACTAGATGTTGGAACATTGCTGCAGGGACATGCTTCCATTCAGCCACAAGAGCATTAGTGAGGTCGTGCACTGATGTTGGGCGATTAGGCCTGGCTCGCAGTCTGCGTTCCAATTCATCCCAAAGGTGTTCGATGGGGTTGAGGTCAGGGCTCTGTGCAGGCCAGTCAAGTTCTTCCACACCGATCTCAACAAACCATTTCTGTATGGGCCTCGCTTTGTGCATGGGGGCATTGTCATGCTGAAAAAGGAAAGGGCCTACCCCAAACTGTTGCCGCAAAGTTGGAAGCACAGAATCGTCTAGAATGTCATTGTATGCTGTAGTGTTAATATTTCCCTTCACTGGAACTAAGGGACCTAGCCCGAACCATGAAAAACAGCCCCAGACCATTATTCCTCCTCCACTAAACTTTACAGTTGGCACAATGCATTAGGGCAGGTAGTGTTCTCCTGGTATCTACCAAACCCAGATTCATCCATCCAATGGCGGCGAGCTTTACACCACTCCAGCCGACGCTTGGCATTGCGCATGATGATCTTAGGCTTGTGTGCGGCTGCTCGGCCATGGAAACCCATTTCATGAAGCTCCTAACAGTTATTGTGCTGACGTTGCTTCCAGAGGCAGTTTGGAACTCAGTAGTGAGTGTTGCAACCAAGGACAGACGATTTTTACGCGCTTCGTGCTTCAGCACTCGTCGGTCCCATTCTGTGAGCTTGTGTGGCCTACCACTTCGCTGCTGAGCCGTTGTTGCTCCTAGACGTTTCCACTTCACAATAACAGCACTTACAGCTGACCAGGGCAGCTTTAGCAGGGCAGAAATTCGACGAACTGACTTGTTTGAAAGGTGGCATCCTATGACGGTGCCACATTGAAAGTCACTGAGCTCTTCAGTAAGGCCATTCTACTGCCAATGTTTGTCTATGGAGATCGCATGGCTGTGTGCTCGATTCTATACAGCTGTCAGCAACAGGTGTGGCTGAAATAGCCGAATCCACTAATTTGAAGTGGTATACACATACTTTTGTATATATAGATGCATATCTGTATTCCCAGTTATGTGAAATCCATAGATTAGGGCCTAATTAATTTATTTCAATCGACTGATTTCCTTATATGAACTGTAACTCAGTAAAATCTTGAAATTGTTGCGTTTATCTTTTGTTCAGTGTACATATAATTATTTGGTCAACCAGATATAAAGTTATTACTATATTGTTACAAAAGAGGGAACAATGTTGTCTTTAGCTTGTGTGGGATATATAACGTTAGCCAGCTAACTGTTAGCTAGCACATCCACATTACCAAGGGTAGGCAGGAAGCGTCGTTCTAGTCTCCAGTGGTCCAATTTGAAACTTTTTATCAGTCATTATGTGTCCACTTGTTTTCTCATCAATTTCAATGTAATAAAAGTCCAACGAGTGTTGCCCTCGGGGCACGTCAAAAGGCGATCGACAATTTCGTAATGACGGTATTATTTAAAGCTATCTGGCTAGCTCCATGGTCCTAATACAAAGTTTGTTACATGGTTACTATGGTAACAGTGTTTCTCGATAAATTGTAGTTGTTATGGGATGTCACAAAATATAAATGTAGTTTGAGTTCCAGAGGACCTTTGCTGTAATTACGATTATGAATTTACTTGACAGTCACAAATCAACACGTAAAAAAATGTATAAGAGCAATATCATCAATGCAGTTTTCACTGAAGACTAATACAGCCTTGCTATGGTTTTGACCACTAGATGGTGGTATGTGATCAGAGGGAACTGATGAGTTCCTCTTTCGGGTGATCCTAAAAATTGTTACTCCCAAATGTAAAAAAGAAATACTCAGAAAAATCTCAAAACTATAGCTGAAAGTACAGAGCAGTGCCCTTTTGGTGTCAGATTGTTTGCTCTTGTTTTTCTGGCCATCATGCAGAAGCAGACTAGTTCTTGTGTAATTTTAATCAATATTTATCTAATTCAACATGTATTGGGATTATTGTATGATTCTGTTTACATCATTTGAATGTAAAATGCATGTGTATGTTGACCATGCGCCCCTCTACATGCGATTCTGGTCAGGGCTCATGAATTAGCTAATAAGTCTCAGTTCAGGTCTATAGGCCCTCATGTCTTGTTTAAACACACCAGGGAAAAAACAGTGAAAATGAGACAGAGTTCCTACTGTTCCCCTGTTTATGCATCGTCAGACTAAATTTATAGCAACAAATGAACTAAAACCTGCTACTTTTTATTACTACCACTACTAATAAGGATAAATAAGAAATAAATACTACTTCTAGTGGTAGAAGTGGTTATTATAACAACAGATTATCACAGATCATAGAGTCATACATTATCCCACAGTAAGTTAAGTAAAACTGATTTCCAGCCTGTGGTTGTGTAGACAGAGAAAGGAGTGCTAACCGAAATGATTGTAATGTACGGCTCCTTTGAGGTCTTCAGAGCTTGCATTCCTTCTTGCCCTATGTATTCCTCGTGCTGTCACAGGACTGAGGTCAGTCAACACTGTTGAACAACAGCACAGCCTCTTAAATGACAAATCATTATCCTCATCGTCATCATCATCCGATTCCATCAACATGGCACCATTTGTTAGGCCTGGGAAATTCCACTTCATGGATTTGTGGACTGTGGAAATCCCAGCCTTTAGTGCCTCTGACAGCTTTCACTCACATGCCTTAGCTTGACTAGGCACCATATTGTGACCTGCTTGGCTGGGTGACTGGCTGACCGCCACTTTGTTCCTCGTCGGCACACTGTGAAACAGCCTGGGCCTGTTGGAGCTGGACACAGAAAGGCCATGACTAGGGTTGAAAAGCTACCGATAATTTACCAAAGTTACTGGAATCTTCAGTAATTTTGGTAATTAACAGAAAATCTATGGCAATCTATCGTATCTTTGGTAATTTATACTTTTTTAATTCTGTATCCATATTGTCTATGAGTTTCTAGTAGATAGACCATATGGTTAAAGAGAAAATAGCCCAATTAATGAAAAAAGCATCTAATCAACAATGGCATTATTTTTCAATTATCTCTGCAACTCCAACTATTGACTTTTTTCACAACTGCCACCAGTTTGATGCCAAAACATTGACAACAAATACATATTGACATAGTAAAATCAATAAGTGTGTAAAAAATATATCAAGAATAATTCATGCTAAAACCACTCATATTAAACACCAATGGTATTCACTAAGTTGATGGTTTATGTTTAGGATAATGTTTTACAACTTAGTCATATTTTTAAAAAAAATTTTAAATCATTTTATTGAATTACACTGAGTGTACAAAACATTATGAGCACCTGCTCTTTCCATGACATAGACTGACCTGGTGAATCCAGGTGAAAGCTATGATCCCTTATTGATGTCACTTGTTAAATCCACTTCAATCAGTGTAGATGAAGGGGAGGAGGCAGGTTAATGAAGGATTTTAAGCCTTGAGACAATTTGAGACATGGATTGTGTATGTGTGCCATTCAGAGGGTGAGTGGGAGAGACAAAATATTTAAGTGCCTTTGAAGGGGGTATGGTAGTAGGTGCCAGGCGCACCGGTTTGTGTCAAGAACTGCAAGGCTGCTGGGTTTTTCACACTCAACAGTTTCCCGTGTGTATTAAGAATGGTCCACCTCCCAAAGGATATCCAGCCAACTTGACACAACTGTGGGAAGCATTTGTGTCCCCTAAGTTCTCTCTGGCCTTATCATGTAAAATATACACTGAGTGTACAAAACATTAAAAATACCGTCCTAATATTGAGTTGCATCCCTGTGGAACGCTTTCAACACCTTGTAGAATCCATGCCCCGACTAACTGAGGCTGTTCTGAGGGCAAAAGAGGGGGTGCAACTCAATATTAGGAAGGTATTTTTAATGTTTTGTACACTCAGTGTATATTTTACATGATAAAGCCAGAGAGAGGCCCAGAGATAATTACAGACACCTGTGATCATCTGAAGTATCCAAAATGGCCACTAGATGTTTTGCGATAGATTACATAAAATTCTTGAACGATACCAAAATACTGGTAGTTTACTGCTAAACTTAGAAAGTTTCCAGTAATATACCCTCCCTTTGCAACCCTAGACATGACTTGTTTTAGCCAGACCACCAGAGCATTTTGGAACTTCTTTGGCAAATGTATCCTCTTAGTCCCCTGTAGCTCAGTTGGTAGAGCATGGCGCTAAAATGTAAATGTAAAATGGCTCCAGGACCACAGGGAATTGTTGTCAGTTTGACAGGTTAAGCCTGCTTTCATTGTCTAGTTTTGACATGTTTAGGTTACATTTTCCATCATACTTGTTACAGTCTTCTGGTTTATGGTTCAGAACACTTGATAAGAAACAGATCATACCAAGACAGTACTGTATACCGTATCTGAAAGAATTTGAAAACATTTACGAAAAGGTTTGTAAACCGTCACTGTAAGGTTTGAAGGATTTGAAGAGGTGCAAAATAAATTCTGCCTCTGTTCTAATTTCAAACATTTCTAGTTGGGAAACAATTCCATCACTTGTGTCATGGATTTGAATTGACTGAAATATGACACCCTTGACAGTTGTGATCACTTGGACAATGCTCTCAAATGGTTGTGTTGGCCCTGGTCCAACTCTCCCTGGAGCTGTGCCCTTGGCATATTCATAGGGGAGTAAATATTAGGATTCGAAAAGGATCTCAGGATTATTTGTCCGGCAAACTCCCAGAACACAAACACTATTGACATGTACAAACTTTAAGACATTGTGACGCTTGACATACTTGGACTTCAAATTCTGATTGTCAAGGCGGAGTTGTCAGTGTAATTTAGTATTCTTTGTGTGATGGAAACGTTCTAACTGATTTAAGTGGATGTGGGTGGGAACTATTATTCTATTGCTAATCATATTTTGTAATCATACATTCCATTGTTTATTTTGTTCCATATGATGTTGTATTGACAATCAAGTGCACAAAAATGTACAAACAGCTAGGGAACCAAAGCAACAGGACAACATCATTCTTTCTCTAAATGATTTTTACCTGTCATTGACAGCACAAATACAATTGAGGGAAACCAGCCTAATATACAGGAATTGTTTTTGTTTACAAAAATCAGAGGCTGGTTTGGCTGCACTCTACTTTTCAGTAGCCAGGGAGTTACTGCCAACTTTTAGCAACCTTTTACAGCCAAAAGGATGTTGTGGTATTATCTGTAGAAAACAATCAACCCTAGAGGATGTTCTCACAGGGTGAGGAATCTGCATAGAAAGTAAAAAGGGTGGGGCACTGTCAAGCTTTTCCTCAGATTGTGTTCCATAAGATGAATGGGTAAAGGTGTGAAATATGTACAGTTGAAGTCAGAAGTTTACATACACCTTAGCCAAATACATTTAAACTCTGTTTTTCACAATTCCTGACATGTAATTCTAGTAAAAATTCCCTGTCTTAGGTCAGTTAGGATCACCACTTTATTTTAAGAATGTGAAATGTCAGAATAATTATAGAGAGAATGATTTATTTCAGCTTTTATTTATTTAATCACATTCCCAGTGGGTCAGAAGTTTATATACACTCAATTAGTATTTGGTAGCATTGCCTTTAAATGGTTTAACTTGGGTCAAACGTTTCGGTTAGCCTTCCACAAGCTTCCCACAATAAGTTGGGTGAATTTTGGGCCATTCCTCCTGACAGAGCTGGTGTAACTGAGTCAGGTTTGTATGCCTCCTTGCTCGCACACGCTTTTTCAGTTCTGCCCACACAATTTCTATAGGATTGAGGTCAGGGCTTAGTGATGGCCACTCCGATACCTTGACATTGTTGTCCTTAAGCCATTTTTCCACAACTTTGGAAGTATGCTTGGGGTCATTGTCCATTTGGAAGACCCATTTGCGACCAAACTTTAACTTCTTGACTGATGTCTTGAGATGTTGCTTCAATATATCCATATAATTTTCCTTCCTCATGATGCCATCTATTTTGTGAAGTGCACCAGTCCGTCCTGCAGCAAAGCACCCCCACAGCATGATGCTGCCACCCCCGTGCTTCACGGTTGGGATGGTGTTCTTGGGCTTGCAAGCCGCCCTTTTTTTCCTCCGAACACAACGATGGTCATTATGGCCAAACAGTTCTATTTTTGTTTCATCAGACCAGAGGAGATTTCTCCAAAAAGTACGATCTTTGTCCCCATGTGCAGTTGCAAACCGTAGTTTTGGAGCAGTGGCTTCTTCCTTGCTGAGCGGCCTTTCAGGTTATGTCGACATAGGACTCGTTTTACTGTGGATATAGATACTTTTGTACCTGTTTCCTCCAGCATCTTCACAAGGTCCTTTGCTGTTGTTCTGGGATTGATTTGCACTTTACGCACCAAAGTACGTTC